GTCTTCACTCAAAATGATATACACAGTCTATTCATGCAAACAGACACACAAAACAAATCAAACATTAATTTCTAAATAGTAATTGTTTATTCATTCTTAATTTGAACAGCAGATTTTTGTACTACTGTAACTCATTTTCTAAGGATTATTGAGAATGATTCATTTCAAACACAAGAAATAATGATTAATTAAGTTATTGCCAACACAGTATGGATATCGTTTTTATTGTTATTACATTTCTTTTCATTTCAAAATTGCTGATATGAATCATACCATTTTCTAACTATCCATCTGTTATTATCACATATTCAGCTCAATACATACATTATTTTTCAGATCTAACCCATTGTAAACATTTGTTTGATATTTGATATTTTGGTCTGATCTTGAGTTTCAGCTTTAAAGACCAAATCTTTGTGTACAATACCCAGCAGTGTCAGAAAAACACAGTCACGTCGATACTGCCAACAGTTTGTCTGAACCGCTGCATTTAGAGAAAGCCAACACCGATTAACTGTATTTACAGACAATTTCCTGCTGTGGAAACGATGAGTGTTTATGTTGTGTTTTTTATTTTGATGCCGAAGATAGAGGGATAAACCATTAGTCCTCTTCACTGTCTTTCCTACGTTCACAAACACACAGAGACACACTCACACACGATGCTAGTGACTGTGATCTATCAGCTGCTGGGCAGGAATGGCATGGCCCCGGCCCGGCCCAATAAGCTCATTAATCAGGCAGGGAGAGGAGTGGGTGGAAGGAGGACACAGCAGTGGATCTCATTATTTTACTTCACAGCACTGCTAATCAGTACATTTATTGATGATGACCATTCCCATTCAGTAAGGGGAGATTACTGTTTCTGTAACATGTAGGGAAGACGGCACTTAAGTATCAACGTGAACAATATGTGCTTTCCTGGTGGAAAGATGGTCTCCCTTCTCACTATGCATTTATACACACAAAGACGCTGTCTCTCTCTCACACACAAGCATGCACGCACACACACATACATAGTGCATGTCCTTGCAACTATCTGAGCAGTGAAATTGCGTTTTCATTTTTTGGTCCTTTCATATCCAACTTCTTTGTCACTGGCAAGAAAAAAGAACCAGTTTTTATGTGTCATTGACCTTTTTAAAAATGTGTGTGTGTGTGTGTGTGTGTGTGTCCATATTACAAAGAGTCTGAAAGTACTCTCATCGTAGGCAAAAATATAGTGAATATAGACTTTGCCTTGAAATGTGTATATGTTGATTTAATTCAGTAATTGATGAGTGATAATTGAAGCTTGAACAAGATAATTACAGGAACATTTTGACAAGAATGATTTCACTCTTATGACACAAGTGATAACATGATAACCACAAGATGATGTTTTGACTCATATCAAGGAATATTTAACTATTGCGTGGATTTTCACAATATTTGGTAAAGATGTTCCCTTCAGGTGGCACGATGGTGCAGTGGTTAGTGCAGTGTTCCTCGCAGCAAAAAGGTGCTTCTTTCAAATCCCATTTCGTCGAGGCTCTGTAGAGTTTGCGTGTTCTCTAGATATCTGTGTGGGTTTCTCAGTCTTCCTCTCACAGTCTGTACACATGCAGATTGGGGATCAGCTAATTGGAGATTTTAAATTGACAGTAGATGTGAGTGTTAATTGTTTTTTTGTCTCTGTGAAATGCTGGTGACCTGTCCAGGGTGAACCCCTCCTCTGGCACAATGGCAGCTGGGAACCTCCGACTCCTGTTCTTTTTCATTTTGTGCGAGTGAAGGGAGGCAAATTAAATGTTTGCTTCCTGTGGCAAAGCAAATCTGCAGCATGGCTTCACGTGTGGTTGAACGCGACATTAACCTGCATCCGCACCCTGCATGTGTGACCTTGACCTTAATTGTACAAACGTTAAAAAATCTTCATCTTGGGGATGAAGCAAAAAAATCCATTAAGATTGAGTGAACATACATGTGCTTCAGATCGCCATGTAAGCTTTGAGCTCAAAACACTGCTATGGCTAAATATGGACAACAGACATGGCTGTAGACTCTTGGTCTGTTGAAGGTATTTTTAAGTCATATTGATGTTTTTTCACAGCTCTAATTACAAAGTATACACATATAGTACAAACATAATAAGACTTTAATTAAGTCAGCAGTACATAAAGTGGTAGTAAAGTTTTAAGCATACAAAATTTGCAAAATGTAATTTTTCTTGTATTAAATTGATGAGCAAGTTGATTTGGTGGTTATAGTTTAAAACCACTAAACTGTAAAAGATAGTGGGGAAATTCATGATTTCTGTCGGCCTGAAAATATTCTGGAAAGCAAGAACTGTTCTGATTCGAACTGGGTCTTTTTGTACGGAGTTTGTATCCTCCCCCCATTTCTGAGTGGGGTTTCTCTGCGTACTCTGGCTTCCTCCCACAGTCCAAAGACAATTAAGACATGAAGATTAAGCTTTGGTTAATTGGAGACTCTAAAATGACCGCATGATGGATGGATGAAAATATCCTTTGTTGTGGTGTCTTGGCTCAGTGACGACCTATATTCACTACTGGATCTGCATCTACTGGAATTTGTTTCAAGTACGCCGCTTAAAGGTCCAGTGTGTAAGATTTAGGTGAAAGGGATCTATTGACAGAAATGTAATGTAGAATAGTTTGTTTCATCTAAATTGTATGATCTGTAGTTTTCTTTACCCTAGAAAAGGCCCTTTATATTTAGATACTATATATTTAAATCAAGGGGGTCCTCTCTACAGAGGCCGCCATGTTTTTTACAGTAGTCCAGACTGAACAAACTAAACACCTTGTTAGTTTTTATGACAACTGAAGCTACCACAGGTTCTTTTTTTCATGTTTGGAAGGAGAGGGTGAGGTGAGGGGAGTTCAGCTGCAACATGCAATTTCAACACTAGATTTCACAAAATTCTACACAAACATCTTAAGGAAATTAATTTGATGTGAAAGCGTGATGTTTAGTATCCTGACATTACCAGTGGCTTGGGTTATAGGGTACATCGTGAAGGACTCGTCCATGAGAAAAACAAGCTTCCTGTGCCCTAAACCATCCTAGAAATAATACTCTCTCCTGAGAGATTTTTAACTTCAGTTTACGACTCAGCCTAAACAGAGAATACACATGCATGAAAGTGAATAATGGGTGCACTGCAAAGTCAAAAATATACAGGGTTGTGCAAACATTGCAAGTCATGCACAGGTGTGTAAAAACAGCAAAAAGAAGTGTGTAAATAAACAAACAGTAGGTAGAGGTGGAGGTAAAGTTAGACAGGCTCGCTGCCGAAGTGACGGGCGGACTCGGTGCTAATGATCCACCGCCACCTCCCGCAGGAAAGTTTTTGGAACAGATGGTTGCCTTTGTGTGCCAAACTGGTGGCAGTACTCCTATCCTTTCTCATCACAAGACTGTCACACGTTTCCTTGATGGACGGCCGCAAGCAGCCAGTGACCCGCTAAGTAGAGGTGCCGAAAACCGCCGAAGCTTTTCTGGCGGGAGGAGCAGGGGCGAGGCAGAGGTGGACCCGGCTGTTATGGTATGCGAGAGACAGAGAGGGAGAGAGATGGTGGTTGTAGGAGAAACAAAGCAAGTGTCGAGCAGAGGGAACACCGAAGGAGAAGAGAAATTCCTCCCATCCCTCTGTCATTTCCCCTCCTCCTCCTCCCCAGTGGTATTAATTAACAGCAGCAGATGAGCGGAGAACAGGAGCCTGAAGGAGATCAGGTTCATGTCAGGTTAGCTCTCTCTCTCCTTCAGACTCTCTCTCTTTCCCCCTGTCTCTCCCTCTCATGCAAACCACACATACACACACTCACACTCACACAATAGGAGGTGTTACAAATCGGAGAAATGTCAGCTCGCCCTCATTATGGCCAGAACTATATTTGAAACAGAAATCTTTGAAAATGGCAGACTTCTCACAAAGCCCAGTTTAACATCCAGTCCTTAGCTCAAACTTTTACAATTCACTTATTCAAATAATCCATTCAAAGCACAGAGAACACCAGTCGCCCTACGACCACTGACACTCACATCCACACCCTCACATGTCTGATATATTAGTATAGGCTCCTCCAAGTAAGCAGTTGGGTATCTCTCATCACACTCGTGTTTAAGAGCTCATTTGTCTGGTACGTTTGGTTGTAATTATTTTTTTGATATTATAAAAACAAGGTCAAATGTCATGATTGACAGCTAAGACTGACTCGCAATTGCTTGAGCGCATGTATCAGTAAGACCTCGCTGCCACGGCTCCATCCCCCGATTGTTAATGTTCAGACTCTGGCTCCATTTGCCAATTGCGTCGTATGTAGTTGGGATATTTTTGGCGTCATTTCTTGATAGTGGGAGTGGGTGAACACATGTTGCCTATTTTTTATCAAATTAGCAATGATTCCTAAGATGGTGTTATCAAACCCTCATGACAAATGTAATTGAGGCTTGATATTTTACATTTGAACCACAAATTGTATTATAGAGAACTATGAATAAAAAACATGAATTAAGAAGATAAACATCAAATTTAAATATATATGCACATCTTCTCTGCAATGTTTGTTCTGTAAAGGTTTTCATACTGAAAACACCAGTACTGTCTGTGATAGGCTCATGTCAGCCAACTGATGAGATGGTTGTCGGAGCGGTTGTTCCAACATAGATTTGCCCCAAACAAACACTCTATGCTAATATACATAGTTAAAAATACAGATGAGCTGTTCAACCAAAGTAATTGCACCCAAATATTGTGTAGGAGAAATATTTCTGACCCCTCAGATTTATGTTGTGACACCTCTGAGGATCCTGCGGGTGAAGAGGACAGAATATTTAGTTCATAAAGGTGTTGTGTTGTGCCAGTGATAGTAATGTCAGTGTAAATGTAATTTATTTGTTGGGATTTAATCGATTTAGTCCTTAACAATTTTTTGTCCTTTCCTCCCCATCCTCTTCCTTTTGTTTTCTCTCCGTCTGCCTGTCACTCCCTGCAGAATTCTATACGACACAACCTGTCCTTGAACAAGTGTTTTCTCAAAGTGCCTCGCTCCAAAGACGACCCTGGAAAAGTAAGTATTTCCCAAACAATGTAATGCGACTGAAAAGCTCAGCATGAATAACGGTGTGATTCACGGTGAAAATGCAAACCTATTTCAGTGGACTTACAAATAAGGCAGAGGCTACAGCGATTACTTTTCACGTGTTCGCTCGCCGTCGTGCCGCACATTTGTGCGTAAGTGCACATGCGTGCAGTGTTTCTGCACTTAACAGCAATTTGTTACTGGCTGTGCTGAATGCCTAATGTTGCTTTCTTTATTTTCTGTAGCTCTGATATTGATTCTGCCAAGTAATAATGTGACACCGGCAGTAATGAATAATATGTATATGTAGGTACACTCCCTCAGATGCAAGGCCATTCACACATCTGTTACACTGTATTAGGCACACGCACTGACGCACGCACGCACGCGCGCACACACACACACACAAACAATCAGAGGAAGTTTTTGATAGGTTTTAGGTTTGATAACAACAATTTGTCCAGACCTTGTTTGTGCTGAATTGAAGGAATCACTCAGACAGGGGAAAGAATATAATTACAGCTGATCAATGAAGCTTTTTATTTAAATGCTCAAATGTCTACATGTCAGGTTATCACATGGTTAACACGAGGCGCAATCTGCCACTAAAAACAACAAAAAAAACTAATTGGCATGCCCCAAACTTTTTCATCAAGTTTTCTAAACTCATGTTGTTTGGGGTGGGGGTGCAGGGGTGTTTCCAGGCTGCGGGGATGTTGGAGCCATTGAAAAATGAATTAGGGGGAAGAAAGTTTAAATTATTCAAACAAAATCCTTGGGCTTGAGTGGAGGCCCATAGTCTGCCAAAGACAAAAAAGCAGAGAGCGAGCTCCCCCCTGATTAGACTGACTTGGACCTGACTCGCACCTTAACTCAGACCGTGGATCGAAGCGGTCGATACCCCGGCGGTGGAGTGAAGGGGGGGGGGTCATCTGTGCCAAGTTGAACGTACATGCTCTGTTTGAAGCCATAGAGAGAGGGGAGAAGCTAAATCATGCATGTGCTAACGTTAATTGGCTGTGTACTGTTCAGTGATGTGGGACTGAGAGACGGGGAGGAGAAGAAGTGAGTTTGAGGGAGGGAGGTGTGTGTGTGAGTGTGTGGCCTAGATGAACCTCCTGAATTCAGTCTGCAGCTTTGGACCTCCTTGGGAGGGAAAAGGCAAAAAATGAAAGGGAGAAAATAAAATAAAATCAGACCAGGAGGAAATCAAGGACCTAAAAGCAATTGATTTCCTCCTCTCTCACTGTATGTGTTTATTTTGGAGGCTGCTGCGTTTTAAACATTGTGTATCAAAAGGATTTCAGTGGGTTTTCTGGGGAGAGGAAGCAGGAGCGTGCACCGCAGTACAAATAAAGTGAGAGAAAACTGATTGGATACAGAGCTGGAATAACAACAGATACGTTGGTTTTATCGGACGAGAGGGAGATCCATCCACTGCACTGTTTTTCCTTTAGTGACACGATTCCCTGCGTAGTGAAAAAAGACAATTGATACCATCCTCAATAAGAGGAGATATGTTTACAACAGAAACGGATGAAAATGTCCAAGAGAATGTGATGGATATAAAATATAAATTGATGGATAAAAACCTATAGAAACATATATAACATATCAATACCCAAACATCTGGTACATACATAACGGTGCCATTTTCAGGGACATCTGGCTGGCTTGAATATTGATTAACTAAATACAAGGAGAAAATAAATTGAGTAATTTTAGGTTTTTACTTTGATCCAATTTTACATTCAAAAAGAGAGAATATGCACAGATCACCATGGACTCCTTGTCAATGGTCTTAAACCTACAGAGCAATCACAAGCATATGAGAAATAAATAAGCAGCTTCCACCAAACGTGAGACCTAACAATGTGGGTTTTTTTTTTTTTTTTTCTCCTCCACTCTTCAGGGTTCCTACTGGGCCATAGATACCAACCCTAAAGAAGACACAGTTCCCAGCAGGCCAAAGAAAAGACCACGATCTGGGGAAAGGGTACGTACCTCAACCATGACTTAACCAAATCCTTCTTTTGAGGTTAAAGCTTGTTGATTTTAAAAACTCTATAATGTGATGAACGGGTCTGCACCATATTAAGTATCTTGTCACTTGAATCCGATTTGTCTGTTTAATGTGAATATTAAATCTTTTTTTTTTTCTATTACATAGATTATTAAGCAGCACTTTGTTTAACTGCTAGATTTTTGAACAGGATTCATCTGAGCGTTCAGGGTGACGGTGAAGTTCACAGACTATAGTAAACAAGACAAGTTATCCGTCCGAGCTGATGCATGCTAATTGCAATGAGCGAATTCTGACCCTGAGCAGGTAGTTGGCTCTGTCTTACTCAGACTCTGCAGCTGCCTCAGCCTGTTAAGAAAGACTGTAGAAATGGATAACATGAAAAGTCCACAAAAATAAAGCCAAAATGCCTTGATTGCCACCTGGTGGCTGGTTGCACTATAGGTTGTAGGTTGTAAATCCAGTGATAAAGAAACCTAAGAGTTGATGTCAGGTAGTTCTTATCACATTGATGTTTAAATTTGATTATTAATTAGTGATTTGATGTTATGAAAATAAGGTAAAATGTCATGATTGACAGCTGAGACAGACTCACGATTGGTCGAGCTAATTATTTGGTGGGACCATGCACGCCACCGCGGCTCCGTCCCCCAGTAGCTACTAGCGCAGACATCAACCGGGTGGACACGGCGACTTGAAGTAGTGGAATCATTTAATTTCGAAGAGCAGCATGAAAGTGAAGGAGCACTCACTCTGCAGCTACTGGTGGTCTCAATAACCCCAGAAGTACACTGCAGACTGACTTACAAAAAAAAAAAGAATGCTGCTCTTGAAGAATCTCAGTCGACTGAAGGGTCTCTGGCCAAAGATTTGCATTCATTTTTTCTGCCGCAAAACAATGTGTGTCGCAATGAAAATATCAGTTTCCATCATCAAGGCCGTGTTAGAAATGTATTGTCATGGGATAAACCCCTCTAGATGTATCATCTTTTTGGGTCTTAGAAAAAGTCTCAAAAAGATGTGAGCTCTGTCTGAGAGAGTGTTCCTGATGTAGCAGTGTGAGATAACACAGGAGCAGATTGGGAGAATCTCTGTGCACCTGAGATGATACAGACATATTTGACTTGTCATTTTTCCATGCTACACTGACGTGAGGATAAAACAGGAAGGTATTTTAATAAATGACGGTGCAGTGAAATGCTTTAGTCAACCAGACTCTACACTGAACGAGGCAAATCAAATTACCATTTAAACACATCTGTAAATTAATCTTGTTTGTTTATGTGTAGTTTTAGTGATTCAATGGTGTAAATTTGAGTTCTTGAACAGAAGCTCATGGTGCACGCTGCACGGGCATCACAGGGTCAGGGGTGATGAGCTGGTTCAATGATACCAAGGAAAAAACAAGAACATGGTGTGAAAAGGAAAAGATACACTTCACACTTGTACTATTACTGAGCAGTGAACAGCAGACCACTGTATAGCCATGTGATAGGCTACCTGTTTGCCTGCGGTACTAATTCAGCTCAATCTGGAGGGAATAAAACATGCAGGTTCCTGTATTCCTCCCTTTGTGGATTTGTTTTCCTGTTCTGCACGTTACACTCTGTCAGTCTGTGCTGTCTACATCTCCAGAACCAGATGATAGTTTGGAAAGTTACTACTTTGTAAAGTGACAAAATTATGCACCATTATCATGCACCACTTTCCTGTCTGTGATGAACAAGCAGGATTGTCCTTGCTTTGTACCATTTGATCGATACCAACACTTAATATAGGATCCTTTCCCCCTATTCTCTATTTCCCAACTAGAGCCTGAAATGTAATCGAGGCTTGATAAATAAACTTGATGAATGAACTAAATATATAGAACTTGAAAATTGTATAAAAAAAATGTAAAATCATCATATCTAATAATTAATCATATGTGACAGCAGACATGTTAACAAGAATACGCATATTCACAACAACCGCAATGAGAACTGATTCACCAGTTTGAGATTCTGTGTCGAGCTTCACTGAACTTTGAATTAACAGATGAACAGCTCTTTGTGCAGCAGAGGTGGTGCAGCCGCAGGTTCTGAGACTGAGTCCTGCAGTCGAGCAGCAGCAGTTAAATTACTGCAGGTCACTTTCATAGTTTCAGTATGAAAGCTGCAAACAGCTCATTCCAAGCTCATTCCAAACAGGCATGTTTGGGGCAGTCACTGCACTACTGTAAAAGTAGATGCACATCTTGTCTTCATAGCTTATTATATAAAGTAATGGTTTCCATGTTGGCACATATCTGCAAACATAAACGCAGATACTGATGTTTGTGAAAGACTCATATCGGTTAATCGATAAATCAGACAAGGGCTTCACAGAAGTAAAGCATGCACCCTCAATTAAACAATGTCATGACTTGACCTTCATGTTAATACATGTCAACCACAGACTCTTGTTATTTCCAGGATTTCACAGAAACACCACATTAATGACGTAGGATTGAAAATTGGTTTGATTGACAGCGGCCGAGGCTGTAAATACATGCAACTGTGCATCAGCTCGGCAGAATACAGCTGCTGTTCAGTCATTAACCTGGATACAGACACACAGTTCAGAGTGAGCGTCATGATGTATCACATGTTTTACACGACCTCTGTCTGCCTGCATCTATGTTGTTTTGAGTCTTCTCTCCGACTACTGTATATCTTGCTACTACTGTGTCTTTAGCAGCTGAGTAGCTGCTAACCAACTCGTGTTGGTTTAATGACTGAAATATCAAAATACAGATTGAGTATAATGTAACATGAAAAACAGAAATTCCTTTTTGATCACCTCAACTCGAATATACACACTACACATTTTTATGTGAGTAAACAAACAAAGCTAATTAACTACCTCTGCTAAAGACGTTATGTTTTCATTCCTGTCAGTTTGTTGGTTTGTATATTTGATTATAAGCAAGATTATGCAAAGAACTTGTGGACGGATTACCATGAAACTTGGTGGAAAGATGTGATATGGGTCAAGAAGGAAAACCATTACATTTTGGACTGGATCTGGATCAGGGGGCAGATCCAGGAATTGTTTTTACTTTCTTAAACATTCCTCAATTTCCCATGAAATAATTCATGGATCTTAATGAAAGAAATAAGACATAATTAGGGGACTGGTGCAATTTGGTGTGGCTGGATCTACTCTACCGAGAGCTATTCTAGTATTTTAGAAGGAATCTAGGTTCAACGAAGCTTAGGTATTGGTATCATTGCTTAGTCTCCAGGTAGAAAGACGACACTTTCTTCAGCCAAGGTTGAGCAACCAATTAGTGAAATCAGCTGATGTAGTGGGCCAAGCTGCATCCAGACATCGTCAGTGAAGCTCACTGAGGTCTTTCTAAATGTACACCACAACTATCTTTGTCATTGCATTAAAGAAAACCTGCAGGTTCTTTCATCATGGTGCTGCACAGGCAGTCATCTCCCTTCCTTCCTCATCCCGTGTCTCTGTCACCGGTTGTGCATCTTGATCATTATCTTTGTGTTTGTCTGCCACTCTTTCCCTCCGTCTCTTCCTCCCCCTGCCTGTATCGCCGTCTCCTCTCCAGGGAACGCAGGCAGGCGGGGATCGGCAAAGTGCACAATCACAGTTGTTCATTGCAGGAAGAATTGAGGTAAAACAGAGAGGGAAAAGACGGGTGTGGGGTAGAAAGAAGCGTGGAAAAAAAAGGATGCAGGGGGAAAAAAAGTGAAAAAGACATCAAGGTAGTGAGAGCATGAGAGGAAAAAGTCAAGCTGCAAGGGGAAGGAGGGAAAAAAGTAAGAGGGGGAGGAGGGAGAGTATTCCAGGCTTGTGTTCCAGTTAATTACCACAGAAGGCCCCGGGGCTGCCATTAGACATATTTTCTTCACCAACGATTTTTTTTTTTATTACAAACATTAATTAATTCAGAGGCTTGTCATCTCTTCTTACATGGATGGGCCCTTCGACCCCTTTTTTTACGCCTCACTTGCACTGCTGGCAGACACACTGTGGGCTGTCACATGGGCTAAGGAGAAACAGGGAGGTTTTAAGTGGTAAGATTTATAGCGGTGTTACGGCCTGGGAAGAAAAAAACCCTGGGCTGAATATGTCGTGCTGTTTTCACTGGGGTTTTGTTACACCTAGGCTACACAGTCAAAGTCTTTAAAGTCTCCTGATGACAGCATCTGTGCAAGTGGAAATATTTGAAGTTGACAGCGAGGCTAAACGTCAGCTGCATAAATGCATTGTATAAATGTGTAGACAGGCAGTGTACACTTAGTTTAGTACCTGTGCCCCCAGCATAATCAGCCCCTTTCATTTCCCGTATGCCTGTCTGTCCGTCACCACTCAATTATCTCACTACCTATTCTTCCTCTTTTCCCCTCCTTCTCCCACAAGCCTTCCTCACTCCTCTCTTCACCTCCACATTGTCTTCTTTTTAAGTGCCTCCACCAGGGAACCGACAACCCGTTTCGCTTGGAGTTTATCATAAATTAAAGATTGCATTGTTGCCAACCAATCCTCTTACTGTAAGCAGTTTGGGAAGGCAGGCGTGCTGCCTTGAACCCTGAAAGGAGTCAGACAAGGAGAAAAAATATTGTCCTCATTTTCTTTCGTCTTTCTTTTTTTTTTTGCAGGCATCAATTTAGCCCCTCATCGATCTTTGAATAGTTCCTCGTATCCCCACACTCATATCCCCTACTTTAGCTCCGTGTGAGGACAGCTAAAAAAAATGAACTGCTGGTGAAAACATTTTAGATATGTGAATAATGCATGAGGATGGCTTGATTTATCTGATCAAGTGCGAGTGATGTGTCCACATTCCAGGCTGTGTAGTGTCCAGCCATTTAAATGAAGCGCACCTCAACTAGTTCAAATAGTGGAGGCTGGCGCACGGTGATGATTCAGGAAGCTCCGAACAGAATCAAGAACTTGCAGTGTTCCGAAAATTCTCATAACCTTTGTCACGTTTCATTGCCTTCCTCATTTTTACCGTCACTCTCCTACATATTTCCAGTCAATCGAGGACATATTCGAAATGATTATGCATTAATGAAAAAGAAAACCTTAAAAGCTAAAGTTTAAAAGGTATTTGTAGTCACCAGAATAGAAAGATAAGATAACTACTACACTCTGCAATTATTAACTTTCCATTTAAATACCACAAGCAGTGATAAAGGCCTCCTTCCCTGTGATGACTCTGTGATTATTGTCATTGTTATCATGGTCTCAATTAACAGAGAAAATACTCATGTTTGACAAAGCATTCAGTGAAAATTAAGATATATTCATAAGTAGCTTAATGATGCACTCACCTTTTATAACATGACATATCTCCGCCTTACATGACAGAACAGAAACCGCTTCTAAAGCAAATCCATTTCTTCTTTTACTGTAAGATAACTTTAAAGCTATTTTAATGGTAAACAAACTTAAATTAGCTATAATGGCATCTCTGTCACTGCTACAGTGCACAGGCCAGGACGCATGCATCTGGAACCATGTCTCCCTGCAGATGATGGTAAAAACTTTATGGATGTTTTTTCATGGGGCTGCAGAATTTGTCCTGGTGCTGCCGATGGTCAGTGTGCATGTGTGTGTGAGGGGTAGATATTGCTGCACGTAGCTCTACACTGAAGCAACGGCACAACACAAAGTTTGGGACCTTCATATTGTTTCAAATATTAATTGAAACTCTGGCAGGACAATTGTAGTATGTATAGTGTAGGGCTGTCACTTTTTAAGTCTAGAAGTGCATCAAATACAGCAGACGGCCCCATTCTCTCTTCCCATTTCATGCTTGTACAGTCCTGTAAATAAAGGCAAAATGCCCCAAAATATCAAAAATAAACAGAAAGTATTGATAAAGATATCAGTAATGATGGCCCTGCTATTGGATCAAAATCAGATTTTGCACTGTTGGTCACCACTAGACTGTGGATTTATTAGTTCATTAGTGAAACATGATTAATTCAGTCTAGCAAACCTAGGTTTATAATAGAATAATATAATATAATAGGATAAAACAACTGTGTATTAGGTTAGCAGTCATTAGTTTCACACTGATTTTATTATCCAACCATGATGGCACTCTGTGCCACTCTTCGTACTTACTCCACGGGTTCCTCATATGTAGTAGATGATCTGATTAGATTTGGGAGCATCTCTATGCATATATTTTAATTTATGACCAAACATGGATTTCCTTGACAGTGCAATAACTCCTTAATGCTGTATTCTATCAAGTTCAAATTGATAACCGTTTTATGCAAAGACAAATGAGTTGCCATAAAACTCACAGCAATTTTAGGACCTGATTATGTTAATAAGGAAGAAATTGATTTTCTCAGGAACATGGTAATTTCAGGATTATACTTAGTTGAAACTTCCTTATGGAAATAGTGCCTTGCTGCATAAATATGCATAATAATGTGGTAAAACACATTTTATTTGAATCTTTTATTAGCACCCTTAATGACAGTCAGATGAAATAAACACTTATTGATTATCTGTTATTGATAACATTAACATTCCCAGTAAGATCAGTGTGTCAATATAAGCCAATACCACGACCCTGACAGTGAAGCCGCTAATTGGAATTCAGCCTTCATTGATTTTACTGTGTAGCCCTGTGCTTTTAATGCAGAGACATGTCAAAAGGTCTTTGTCTGGTGATGCACTGGAAACAAAGATTAAGTTAGTGTCTTAATTATTTATTTGATAATCTGTTCTCCAACAGGCATCTACTCCTTACAGCCTGGAGTCGGAGTCTCTGAGGATGGACTGCATCATGTCAGGAGGGGCGTCTCCCACTCTGGCCATCAATGCTGTAACTAACAAGGTATGGCACCACATGTAGTGTGTGTATTCTTGTGTGTTGAGATTTGTATGCATGTGTAGACAACTCTGTAAATGATTGAATTTGCAGCAATCCAAATTAAGAGTTAAATACTTTCCCTTTCATTGTGGAGGGACATGTTTTACGCTTTCTATGCAGATAATTTATCTACTTTCCATATGTTATCTGTTTTCAGTTTAAAATGCATGAAAGGCTGTTCTCGTCACATGTGCAAATGTGATGCAATTTAATAAATTGTACTGAATGTGTTGTGGCTGGAGACAAATAAGATTTCATAGCCTCTCTAAGACTTTCATACTGCAACTCTTGAAATTGAAAACCACAAAAAAGGACAGTTCATTCATTCAGAGGTTGATGCTAACGTCCAAACGCACCATGTTAAAATAGTGGGGAAAAAATACTGGATCTACTGGAGCCACTTTATCCAGATCCACACCGGAATGTAATGCTTCTTCTGCAGACGGACGGCACTGAAAACATACCGTCCTCACAGGTAATAGGAACAAGAGTACAGGTGCTGTTCAAGTTTTGTTGCGGCTGGTTTGACCACAGAGAAGCAAATGATTTAGTTAAAAAAACACTGGACAGCACCACAGGCCGTTGGTACGAAGGCTGGTTAGCTACCGAGGCACAAAACAAATCCATACACTCTTTGTGTATCGCCACAGCAGAAATGAACGTCATGTGAGAGAGCCAATTAAAAAGCATGAGTTGTAACTGATAACTTTTCTGTGTTTCCTGTTCTTCAGGCAAAATACCTTGGAGCCATTATTATATAGGTGCCCATTCTAAAATACAGCTATATGTTTACACATAAAAATACAGATTTTTGGAAATCTGATGACACACTTTGAGATTGAGATTAGTTACAAAACTCTCCACTCAATTTTGCTACAGAACAAATTCCATTCAAACTTTAAAATGTTCAGCTCAGTTATGACATTACTGTATTTTTTTTAAAAACTTTTAATATAGATATATTGCATACGTAGTGTACATAATACTTTCTGGGATATTCTGTGTTTTGTTGACATGGAGATGAATGAGCAGAATGTTCAGCATTACCAGTTTTTCAAAACTTTTTCTTCTTCACCTCTCAGGTAGAAACTTCATTCAAATCTGAAAATGTTCAGAAATGTTCCTTCATTTTGGTGTGGTTCAACCTTTTAATCCCATTGACAAGATATTCAGCTTTTTTTAAACCTCCTGTTATAAAGGGAGTGAAAGAGAGAAACCTTCAAACCCACTCATCTACCTCCTGTTTAGTCTCCATCATACACTCTGCAAACTTAGTTCAAACTTAAAAAAGACTTTTGTACATCAATTCAGCTTTTTTATGCCCTTCAGGCTTTTTACTCACTCGCAGTTATTGTATAAGTTTTATAAACCTTTCTAACTTTTCTACATGTTTATATTTTTTCTATGGGGTGAAATGTTCAAAGCTAAAGCGTCACACACAAGTGTGGAGAAGCTGTTCAACTCACTCCCTCAAATTCCACTTGTCACACTCTTAACACTTCTTTAACTGCTCCTTCATACAACTTTAAGCCATCTTTAATTTAAGTTTTCTTTTCAAGAGGTCAGCAATCCCACTCTCTTTAGAGACCGCATTTTCCAGTGTTTTGTCAGTTTATTAATATTAATATTATTAATTGTCTTAATCTAATCATAATGATTTAGACAAATGAATCCGTTAATAAGATGTAGTCATATATTTGAGGAGAAGGTCGAGGTTATAAACACCATCTGGAGTTCGAGGGCTTACCATCAGTGGCTTTGGCTGTTTTATAGATCTTCACTTTCAAACACACTCCTATGCGATGACACATCCACAAACACACTGACTGAAAGGAAAAGCTGGGCGTGACTCTCTGCAGGAGGGTCAGAGGTCAAAAGGGAGCTGAGATCTCTGACGTCCGTCTCCTCTGGCGCACACAGAAAATGATCCCCCCTTCTCCTGACCCAGACCAAAGAGAAAACCTGTTCCTCAGCAGCAGCTCACATAACTGAGCGTTTGGTCTGGATTTATTGACTTTGTAGTTTTCCATTGTCCCTTTTGATTTCTTGTTAACACTTAGGGAATTCAGTTATCGTGTATATATATAAGTATTGGTATTATTTAGGCGTTTACTCATTTGACAACGTAAAAATGTGAACATGATTATCAGGCAAAGAAATGAGTGTTGAGTTGTTCGTGTCGCAACATTTCCCTGTGAAACTGTTGATTCACTTTAAGTATCACTAACATGGACTCATTCTGTTTTACTCTTAAGTACCCACTGTACATTCTGAAACAATGATTCAGTGCAGAGGAAGGCCTTAATGATGCTGATGCCAACATCAATGGAATCCACCCACATCCGGACAGGTGGCGTCCTGCAGGCGTAGCAGTGCGTCAGAGCCTCCTTAGCAACACATTCACTAATATTCTGCTCGCACTGGACACCCTGTGGTGTTGAAACAAGAATGAGATGTTTGGTCATAATCAGTTTTTTTCTTTTCTACTGCATTTATGTAAACCTCAAATGTTAAAAGCTAATTTGAACTACATTATAACTAGCTATAAAGCTACACAATAACTGTGAGGAGAATTACAGATTCACGCATTCAAACTCTTCCGCTTTGAGACGTTCTGCTGGGTAGGAAGCTGCCCCAGAGAGCCTCTAATGCTGTCTCTCACCCCAAGGCTATATTTTCAGATATGTCTATACAGTTAAATGTTGCCTGGAGGTAATGCTGGCGCTCTGCTTCACAAGTACTGACAGTCAAACAAAACATGAGAAATGTGATTTAACATAGTCCTGAGGCATTGCTTTGAAAAGCTTTGTGATCTGCCACCGCGAGACGATGTGCAGTCTGAAGTGAAACTTGTGTCCTCGTCTGTGGTGGCGGTCGGACTCTCTGATAATAAAGTAATTTCTATTACCCACTGGTCTCTGGGTCAGGAGACTTGATCCGAATCAACATGTTAACGGAGGAAAAAATGAAGTCCAAGTTCTGGGCTTTTAGGCAGCAGCAGGCCTAATTTGCTTTCAGCACTTTAATTTCCATATTTCCTCATGAATTGCCTCATCAGTTAATGGTGCATGGGTTACTTCTGGAGTTGGGCAGTGTTCAGTCTGGATGTGAATTGGCAAATGGACAAAACAAAAGAGTAGCGAAAGGGGAAATGAGGAATAAAATCATGTATCGTGAAGAAGTTTATATGGTGCGTTCACTTAAAATGTAGAATGTTGGCCCAATATATCATCCTTTATTGTCATGTTTATTAACGTGGATCGTGTGTGTGTGTGTGTGTGTGTGTGTGTGTTTAGGTAGCACTGTACAACCCTGAGGCAGAAGACAGCGAGAGCCCTGGGAGTCTGGGTGGCAGCCTGAGCAACAGTCTCTCAGAGCAGAGTTTGGCGTCCGTCAACCTTAACAACCTGAACACAGCCGTCAGCAGCGGCGGCAGCAGCGTACACAGCTACACACCAGTAAGACCTTTTCTTTTATTTCGGCCGACAGTCTTATGATTGCTGCAGGAGAATCAAATCTTTTCTTAGTCTCTGCACAAGGACAACCACTGACCTGCAGCTGCCACAGGCTTGGCGTCTGACTCCACAGCAGCAGGGCCGGTGCTTTTTCCCACTTGTCTTCTGTTTTTTATCTTGATATTGCAAGTTCAAAGCTACCAGAATTCAGACTGAAATATTTTGTTGCATGTTTGCTTGATTCTGACATGATTTGGACGATTCAGTCACTCTCAGTCTCCCAGACTGAAGAGGTGATGAACAGCTTTTGCAGTTTGTGGAGGGGCCGAGCATGGCCCAAACAACAACCCAGTCAATTTTGGTGCCGATCCGGATTTCTTTGACATTGTGTGTTTTTTCAACATTTTTTAATAATTCATGGAACCTGATGAAAGATCTGGTGGACTGACATTTATGAGCATGTGCAGTTTGGCACAGGTCCAAATAAAAATCCAGATCTAGTGAATTTCATTGTGATTTTTTATAAGCGGCCTGTTGTGTCTTGCATTGTAGCCTGAAAAAAGCTGTGCTTACTAAATAATCAATTAAAATGCTGCTAAATGGACCATTGTATTACTTTAAGATGCATCAATTAACTAGAATGTCACTCAGGAGAGCACCAACAGTGCCTTACTTTAATCAAATGGCACAAACTCATAGATATCAGTCCCCTAAATACACAATCAGTGTATTCTCTAGGAAATATCAAGAGACGCTCATACCATCCACTCATCTCGCAACGTGAAAGAAGGTAATAAAACCTTTTGGATCCACCCCTTTTTCAGATCTCTCAAAAATTTAATAATTTCTTTCTTGTCCCGTTTCTCATCCTTCCGAGTTTTGTGGAAATCTATTGGACAGAAACTATAACCTCTGTGGCAGATGTAACAAACTATTTCAGTTAGTCAGATTTCCTAGAGTGGAACAATTATTTAGCTCTTCAAACAAATCAAATCTTGATTTTTGTATTTGGTTATTCTTCCTTTCAGAGATGAGGAAAGTGCAGACTCATTGGTGATGCTGCAACCGAATGCAGTGATTATTTAGCTTGCGTGCTGCATTTTTGTTTTACAGCCGAATATCAGTACTAATATGTTTGCAACCTCTCACGCTCCTCTGGGTCTGTGGGAAATGCTGGTGCTCCCTGAAAAAGTGCTTCTCTCATGCAGAAATAAAACAGTAGCAAACAGTCGTTCTTTTGTGTTGACAGAACCACCTCTGATTCATATGCGTGATGCCTGACCACTCCAGTATTAGCAAAGAGGGTCAGAATTGTATACAATTAAAAAAGTAAACTAAGTCTGTTATCCTGCAATTAAACACTGAGACGGTTTCTGTGGCTTCTCAGGGGAAGAGCTGTGCGGGACTATTATTGTTTATGTCTGAGGCCTGAGCCAACGGATGTAACTGGTGGCCAACACACTCACACTAACCATGCACGCACACACACATTCACAGTGCCGTATCGTCTACCGTAATGGTGCCTATGGTCTTGGCCAGTGTAAAGCACACTCCAGACTTGGCAGGCCACAGATACACACAGACATAATTTGCCTGATTTTACACTGGCTGTTGAAATGATTCCTCATCCTTTACTCTACAAGGACCTTTGGCTGTTACAATTAATTAGTCTCAAGCTGTGTGTATGTGAGATGATAATAAATGGTCTTTTTATGGAGGGGGGAGTAAACCCATCTATTAGCACATAAACTGTCCCATGAAGAGAACGCTGGATTTAGAACAAAATATTGGAATAACAATAGTTATAGAATAGAAATAGTTTATCATAGGTTCGACAGATGAAGAAAATGTGGCTGTGGTGCCGATATAACTTCATATCTTTCATACTTGGGCTTTAGGAGGTTTTCAAAAGTCTTAAATTAAGTTCTTCAAACTTGCAGAAACCGAGTATTTAACCTTGGTGAACATGTTCCATCTTTCATGAGCTTACATTGCCCGAATTAGACCTAGCAAGTTAAAAATAATGCTGATCGTAGTTAAAAGTACTGTATTCAAAATCCTACTTAAGTTACAAAAAATGTTCATTATGGCCTCTTTGACATGGTGTTAGTGTCTGAAATTATTAGATTCCCAATATTAATACAATTCCAGAACAGGTCAATATGAAATACTTTTAACTACCACAGTTATGTCCAGTGGTTTAGAGCCTAGGTTTTGGGGAACATGTTATGCTCACAATATAAATCTGATATGTTGAGAAATATCTCTTTTCCTGGAACTGCTAATTGCTGATTGGAATCTGAAACAACAGGCCCCAAAATTTAACATTTCTAAATAAATTGTATTTCTCTCTGATGTGTGGTTCAGTATCAATCCTATACTGGCAGAAATTGAAAATACTCAAGTATCTCAAAATTATATTGTCTAGTACAATACTTGAATGAATGTACTGAATTCATGCAGTACATTCAAGATCCCACGGGCCATTGTGGGTAACCATTGTAGCCATTAAAGATTATTTTGTGTTTTTAATCGTCCCTTTAAACCAAACAAAAACCATTTTAAAGACCAGTCTCAATCCTAAATCGTTTGGTCCAAATTGCTGAAACCCCATCTTCATTATATTTCCCTTGTAACAGCTGCTCACCTTTTTACCATCAATCACTTTCCCCCGCTCACCTCCCACCTGCATTAGCAAAGGTCAGCGCAATCTCATCTCGTTAACCTCCCATTTCTAGAGGCCATCTTTTGTTTTCCTCCTGCCCGCACCACTTTCTCCGCACCCACCCCCCGCGCCCTTCTCCTCTATTGTCTCAGACATCATCTGTGGTCGAGTCCGGCGGGATCGGGGTTAGTTCTGCCTCATTACCTGGCGCAGGTGATATCCTCCTGACTGACGGTGATTACCGGTGGCACCGCTGGCAGAAATCTCAAAAGGCACCGAGCGAGTTGACGGAGAGGCTGCCATTGTTGGGTGGAGGTAGCTGCGTGGGGGAAGTGTCATGCTAAGTTGGCTCATGTTTGCGGAGGCACGCTGATCACAGCAAATTGCGTGTATTTGCTGGGTGGATGGTGAGGAGGCTGACAGCTGGGATGAGATGATTGAGGGTGGAGGAAGACAGGCTGCATCCACAATATGTGATAGAAATTTCAAGGGCTATATTTTTGTTTTTATGTTTATATGAAAAGAAATGAGCACCAGAGGAGGATTCCATTTTAACTGCCTGAAACTGAGTTTGGTATAATCATCATTGACTACATCCAGAAATGATTTGAAGGAATATTTAATTTTGATTTGAAAGGCACTATTCTGACTTAATTTATTTATTTTTTGGTCTGTTTTACAGCACTGTTCTCCCAGTTCAAATCCAGGTTTCTCAATTTAGATTCAGTTTGTAGAAGCACCTAAAGTAGTTTCCCCGTGTGCTGACTGACAGGCAGCAGCCCACTCCACTGCTGACATCAGTGGCCTCTCACTCCTCGCCGTATGGCCTGTTCATGTCTTCTTGCATTGAAGTTGGAGGATTTTAAATAGTTTGCTGCTTCATGGTTCAACTGAACTGTTACTGGTACAGGACTTGACGTAGGCCGACCTGATTAAGTGAACAAGTTAAGGATCATACACAGGACTTAAAACGTCTCTAAGGATTAATGTTTACATCTCTTGCATCATCAGTCCAAAGCGGTAAAAGGTTCTGTTTATGTTATTTCCTGTTCAAAACGACAAAAACAAGCTAATTTGAGTGGCATTGTCGGAGCAAAACTCTGAATGATAAAAACCAGTGTCAGGTAAAGAGAGAGCATAGTGGCTGTTTTAACAGAAACTAATCAGAGGATAAAATAGAATAAAAGGAAATCTAAGTATCAACATTTTTCAAATGCCAAAACACTGCATAACAATTTATGATACTATCTATGAGACTGTGTTTTACAACCTTACACTGCCACAGTTGTTTTTCCTTACATCTTCTAATCTGTGTCATTGTACTGCCTCTCCCTGCTCTCTGTCTGTCTTTAAGGTGAGTTCCCACTCGGAGCCTTCATCCCAGTCTCTGAGCCTCCAGCCGCCCACCCAGCCACCGCCACCTCCCCCTCCTCCCCCACAGCCCCAGTACGGCCTGCCCGTCCCAGAGACGCGAGACAAGCCGCTCTGCTTCTCGGACTTCGAGGACCTCAGCGCTTCGTTCCGCAGTCTTTACAAGTGCGTCTTCGAGCAGTCCTTCTCACAGCAAGGTGGGTGTCAACTCTCACTCATGCACGTGGATTAGTGTGTTCTGTTTACGTGTACATCTGTACTGACACTCATAAAAACCTCTGTCAGGTTTTATGCGCATAATTAACTGTCAAGCTTAAGCTGCTATTGAAACGGAGAAGAATTAACCCGCTTTCTAGCGGCGAATACATTCCAGTATTAACCTCCACCGAGCACTACTCCTACTCTATTGTATTTTAATAAACAAACAATCTTGTTGTTCCGCATATCTGCATTTTACGACTCGCTCAGTCAAATGAGTAAAGGCAATTAGGAGCAAGAATTCAACAGAAGGAGGAAAAAACTCCAACACATCTGCAGTCGAGCAGAGCAAAGGGTTTCTGCAGCTTTGATAGCAGCTAATTAGATTGCTTCTAAAGTTTGTGAAGCATCTCGCTAATTGCTTTCTGAAGCTTTCAGGTCACCAGGCCTCCTCCCACTTGGACCCCCCACCATCCTCCTATCGCCTTCCCTCTCTCGCTGTCTTCTTCCCCTGTACACGTCCACGCAGGTCCTGCAGTTGAAGACACTCACGCACTCTGTTGAGCTCTGCAGGGTCCCCTTCAATTTGTGGTCAGGGGCGCACGCGGAAAAAGACAATGAGAACAGCTTGTTAAAAGACAAAAAAACAGGCAACACAGAGACCTACTAAGAAAAAGAAGAAGAAATGGATTTAGCAGATGCTTGAAAGGGCCCGTGATGTGTGACGCTTAGCAGGAAACAGTGTCTGCAGTCATTGTATTTGAGAATTTGAGTCACAGTGAGTCACCCAGACAGCAGAGCCCATTGTCTCCTCGGAGAACACGTCGACGACCACACACCAAACTGTAACTGACTCAGGTGGGGGTGCAGTCATTTTCTGCCAGGTCCTTGTTCTGCTTCATCCTCATTAATCACCGGTCGAGCAACAGAGACAATAAGAATAAACAATACATGAATAAATTAGGAGTTGAAATAGTCTTGAAACATTATTTTTCAATTTAGCTTTAATAATGAAACTCTACTTTCCCTGATGCCACATTAAAATCAAAAGCAGCCCTCACATTTTAATTATTATTGATTAAAGAGAGTACAACAGTAACAAGACACAAAAAACTAGTAATAGACACTCAGTTAATAGATAACACAATAGCTAAGGAGGATTTTTACCTCCATTTCTTAGTTTGTTTGTTTTTTTTAGCAGGATTACACTAAAACTACAACAGACAACAGATGTGGAAGATGGAATGGAGGAGAGTTACTATTTTTCATGATGCAGTCGTTGGTGAAAACCTTGACAAGTCAGTTACCACTTAAAACTTGATGCTTGTCTATTTGAGGAGGTACAGGTGCGTTTTTCCTTTTTGGGCGCTCCAATCACCTGTAGCTTAACACCTCAAATACACAAGCATCAAGTTTTAAGAGGTGACTGACTTGACTAAGAAAGTAACTCTGCTAACTCTCGTTGTTGTCATCCATTGCCGCTCACTTACGTTGTGTGGCTTTTGCAGTTGTCTACTCTTTGGCATTTTCATTTTTCGGTTAATGTGCTTGTGTGTGACGTCTCGGCCACCCTCTGCGACAGATCCACAAATCTTTTATAACTGTGTTGTTTGATAGGGTGTTTTTCTAACATGTTTGATGGAGTAATATTTATGAGTGTGTGTAATTTGGTGCAGATCCAAATAAAAATCTAGTGAATTTAAAGTGTCATAAGGAGACACGGATATATGCTTTGTAGAGCGCCAGTCTGGTTCGTAAAGCACTGATTTGTATAACACATATAACACAGGAAATAAAAGAGTTGGAAAAAAAACAATACTTGCACAAGCAGGTAAAAGTGTAACAGCTCCCTGGTGGCAGCAGTGAAAATGTCACTGTGCTCACAGAGACTCACTGTGCTCATTGATTTCCTTATGGTTTGTTGGTCACGAAAAGAGCCGGAGTTCCTCGGTTTCACTTCACTGATCTTTAAACAGATCTGAACAGCACTGTTCCTGCCTCTCAGCGATAAGTCACCAAACAGCAGATGATCACAAGACTCAGTTAGAACAACAGCATCAGAACAAATGCAGTGACAGAAGATAAATGATGTTTCTGAGGACAGTGCACTCTGCTGGCCACACTTCAAAATCATCTCTGTCTTTATATTTCACCTTCAGACTGTTCAACACTGAAGTATTTTTAAGAATCATCAACTTAGCAGAGTGCATACTTCCACCAAGGCCCAACAGTTCCCTTAGATTCAATCATACTGCACTAAGTTTCACACAGACTGCATTTACATGTGCAGTATCCCGGTTATTATCTGGTTTATGAAGTATCCCATTTTGGTGTTTAAGAATGTAAATGTCATATCCCTATTTAAGTATCCTGAATAAGCCCATATCCCAGTTTTGAGAAACCCAATTTTAGGGATACTGGTGCATTTATAGATCTTTCCCTAGTTTCTAATTCCCTGGGAAAACAAGGAAAATGTTGCAAAACACAAAGACCCCTGACCTGGATCCATAACAAAGTTGAATGAGTTCTTCTCTGACTCAAACCACATCCTTCCACCAAGTGTTGTGTTAACCCACCTAGTTTTTGCGTAATCTTGCTTACAAACAAAGAGATAACATATCTAATGTACAAACGTAAAAGCACAGCCATGGTTAAACTGTGTGTCAGAGGGAGACGCAGCAGTGGTGCATCGTCCGGAAATTTAACAAGATTCAGAGGCAGCTTCCTGCATCTGTGATGAAAAGTTCACTTTTGGGGTGTGCGTGTTATGAGCCTTTAGAAATTCTGCACAGAGCACAGAGGTTTTGAGAAATTTATCATCTAACTTCCAACAATGTATAGACTGAAGCTGGAAGGCAGGAGGGATGTTGTTCTGAGATCCAGTGAAAAGGACTGAGATAGACTCCGAGTCCAGCAGGTTTCAGAACGACAGATCAGGACAGGCAGCTGGATGATGAAGCACACGTACACACGTTATTTAAAGGTGCAGGTACTGAGTACAAGAAAGTAAAAATTTTCAGAGAGCAGCCGGAGCTTCTTATTGGAGGATAAGTCTCAGGTATGTTGGTGTTTTGAAAGTGATTATCTTAGTTGTTACTCACTGAGAATTCAAAGGTCTCACAGTTCTCTCAGTCGTAACAAGAATAAAAAGGTCGAGACAAGTCAGCTACTTTGTGTTTGGCTCTCTACCAATGTTGTGGTTAGTAATGGATTTCAACTTAATTCTTTAACAAGCCTCCTTAAGACTATTATCCCGCTTTATCCCGACATGATTTATCAGCCCTGTTCATTTCATCCTACACTTTCACTTTCTTGACTATTCCCTTTGAAGAGGTTTTTTTTTTCTTAGAATCTGCAATCTTCACACAAAAGAAGTTCCAACCTCAAACAGATTTGAATGCTGTCATATCCTGTATGTACGATAAAAGAAGTGTCAATCTGTGCAGTAAAGAAAACCTGCAAACCTGTAAAAAGTTCCAGCCTTTCCTGCTCTGAGGACACATGCATACAAACCATGGGCATTCAAATTATGCTTAAAATATTTAATAATCAGGGTATTAATAAGCACCAGGAACTAAACCACAAAAGACATCAATTTGAATCCATTGTCAGACATGAACTTTGCCTTTCACATATGAAGATCAAGATTGTCCAGGTCGTTCACAACAACGGGAAAGACATTCAGGGGAGAGGTTGCATCTGGATAGAGCCAGCAGGAGGCAGGACACGACAAATTCCACTACGTAAATCACATGATTATGTTTAATGCACTGGCCCTTATCACCAAAAGCCCTTGAATCTCAATGTCTTTCCAAGTTGAAATCTTCGTCAGTGTCTTCTACACATATAAGACATCTCTTTTCCATACTGAGATATTTGCATTCTTTTGGTTTCTTTCAGTTTTGTGTTTATGTCATCAACTTGGACATTTCCAGACATTTCTGTGCTGTTTTCTCACATGGGCTCATTCAGACATTTTACTAGAGGGCTGGCAAGAGAAACTCCAGAGAATGTCTGGAGCGCCCCCCCCCCCTGGAAAAATTTCAGGAGAAAGACTTGAGTTCCGTGCATGTCTGGAAGCAGCATGAGTACAAGCAGCTGTACACAGGTTGAGTGAATATTAGTAGGTGTGAGTATGTCTGTGGAAAAAGAAGAAGTCAAATATCTTAAGTTCATCATTTTCCCAGATTTCCAACATTTCTTTCACCTTGTCACAAACTGTAACGTTGGTTATCTTTTGTTCTCGTCCGGCAGGTTTGATGGGAATGCCCGGGGACTCCAGCCAGCAGGCCCGGACCGCCTGCTCTTACCAGCACTCCCCCGGCGCGGGAAGCAGCGGTGGTCACCACCACCAAAACAACCACGGCCAAGCGTTGCACCACCCCCACCACCCTCACCACCCTCAGCAGCACCTCTCCCCTCACTCCACCCACGGCCAGCACCAGGCACACAGTCCACACGGGCAGCACCAACAGCACCCTGCACATTCCCTGCAGCACCCATCTCTCTCCCACCAGAGCCACACTGGACAGACCTGCCCCACAACAGGTGAGAACTGAGTCAGGGAGCGTGTGCCCTGTTGCCCATGTGTCGGAGTTAAACATTCCTGAGGGTGGTGACACCTGCTGGTAGCATACTGCAACAAGAAAGGCAGAGTGGCAGACAGCAGTGCACAATGAGTGACCCTGAATGAATCAGCTATGAGCAAATCACACTATGACAGTTAACTATGATTTAATAAAAACAACTCAAAGACGAACTTGTGCAATCACAGTGACATGAAAATGATAATCACAACATTATTCTCCACACTATCATTCAGAATTCAGACTTGCTCTGGAACATGTGAGTTATTTGATGATGAAGAAATCACCATCATTTTTAAATAGTTTCAAATGGAGGACATATTTCCCCCTTGACTTTGTTGTGGTGAATGGCTTTTACCACTCACACCATATGCTACATTCACACTACTATGTTTTAGTTAAAGTTAGAATGCATTACTGTTGCTAGGTTGACGCCTGCAGTCCACACTACTCTAGAGTTTTCAAGCACCTAAAACAGAGATGTGTGGAAACGCCTTGTTTTATTCTGAAAACTCTGGTAAGCCTTGTTGTATATGGGTAATCAAAGTGGACACGTTCGGAAACAATGACAGTTACCATCATTCACTTCCAGATTTGTTCTTGTCGGCCACAACTCGGCATTTAACTTGATGAAGAGTTTCTACAAATTTTACATGAACGATGATCATTTTAAAGTTAAACTACCTCTGGATTGATGTGGTGTGACTACAGGATGAGCAGTGAGAATCCACCAATGCTCCCAAGTCCTAAGAACAAGAGGTTTTCCAGTTTTTCCCCACTCTGATTGAGTGCAGTGTAGGTTCATGTTTCATATATATGTATGTGTGTGTATATATATATATATATATATATAGCAGCGTAGCACCAAACAATGATTCTGCTTCTCCACACTCCCAAAGCCATGTTGGCGTAAATACAATTCACCTAACACATCAGACTGAGACTGTCTCTGCACAGACCTGCTGCATTTATATTATACTTTTTCTTCTACAAGGTGCCAGAGCATTTGATACCATGCGGCTGGGCTGATAAAAAAAAAAGAAAAAAGAAAAGAAAACAGGCATCTCCAAAGCTTCCACAAGGCTTTTCTGCCTCGTACTCCTGGTCTTTGTTTTTCCTCTCTCTCCCTCCCCTGTGCCTCTGCAACACAGCTCTCAGGCCAGAGAAAAGGACTATCCAGACATTATTTATCTTGGTTAGTATTCCCCTCCACCAAGCTGAGGATGAATCAAAGCAATCCCTCTGTCTCTGATCCACAGTCTTAAAACGTATTGTTGTTTAGTCTGTGGCGGGGAGGGCCATGAAAAGCATTTCCTCCTCCTCTTCCTCTCTTTTTTTCAGAGGCAGAGCTCTGGCTGTAGTTTTTGTTTGTGATGAGTAGCACCACCCTGTGGTTGTTGGCTGAACTAAGGCAAATTTAACGTTTATTAGTACTAGTTTCCGCTTATTTGACATTGTTGCGCTGCTCTTATTTTAATGAAGAATCGATTAGTCAACTAATGCTAATTATCATGGTTTCACTGACATTTCAATTTCGAGACAGCATAGTGAGAAAAATCATCAACTACAAGATCAAGTTAGCAAAACATGTATAAACTGATACATCCAGTTTAAACAGAGGAGTCACATATACATTTATTAAATACTTAAATATAAAATGAAACTAAATAATACATTTGTAAAATATATCAAATATATTATTTATTATATGTATTATACAAATGCAGATGTTTTCTTACTGCACTGCAGAGATGCAACAAATAAGTATTTTGATTATTTATTAATCTGCCATTATTTTCTCAATTATCAGTCTTATCCCTGTCTATGAAATGTCCAAACATTGGGTGCAGTTTCCATTTTATTTTAAACACTAAATGTTGACTTCAAGTCGCCGCATCACCTGCTGTTGTTTAATTGGGAGTTGTGCATGAAGTTGTGAGTTCATAGTACACAACTGTCTGGCGATGTGTGTGACATGCTACACAATCTTTGACCAGGAGAAACCCCCGACACGTATGTCTGGTCTCAAACTACATTAAATCACAAAAACCCTCGAGAAAAGACACAGTGAGTCAGAACGAACCTCCTGCTCTTCTGCCTCATCCTGCTCTCAGAATGACACATCCAACTGGAGGAGGTAAAAAGGTTCAGTGGATGTCACAGTTTATTAGAAATCTTCCTTTTCCATTAAGAATGTAATAACTTTTTACTACTTCATAACCACAAACTTAAATTCTTTCCTTTTTGTGGCTCATAGAAATCTTTATTTGCACAATAACAGTCCAAAACCCAAATAAAAGAGTCAAATACTCATTTAAGATGAATAATTTCGAGTCATAATAGATTGGCTTCAGAAAGTTTTATTATCTTTTTTATAAATATGTAAAGAGTTTTAAAAACCGTGTCCACTTTGTAATAATTGAAGTAGAGGAAGAAGCTAAAAGAAGAGAAACAGTGAATAAGACCAAACAATCTTACACATTGAACCAAGTCTGCACCACAACTTAATGGATGCTCCCCTGATCGTTGCGCTTTCCCTCCACCAAGTGTGGTGCAGATTGATTCAGTCCTTTTCAGTAACCCTGTGGACAAATCAAATAAGTGAAAACATAGATGTAAAAACACAGTGCCCCCATTCATTTTAATGTTACCAAAGAAACAATGGTATGCATGGGTTAAACTGTCCTTTTTTTTTCATTCTTTTCCAGTGCAGTGGTCAGCACAACAAAGCAGAGGACTCGCACACTTAACAATAAAAGATTCAGCCTGTACTACACATTTTTGCAGGGATATAGAGACAGTGATTGAATCTTTTTTGTTCTGTGTGCGAAGTCGTCCAAAGAAATGGCACCAGATCTTACACGTCCTGCAGTTTACACCTTTAAGTTTAGCTCATGTATATTTGGCCGAGGCAATGTCATACTCTAAGGTCATCTACTATTATTTGTGGAGCTGTTTTAAGAATGATTAGATAGTTGGTGTAAAGTTACACAGTAAGAGAAACAGTTTAAGAATTAATACACTGTTGCTTTTCTGACGGAAAATGTTTTTTAAGTTTATCCAATGTCGCCTAAACTCTGTTTGTCAGGGGATAGAAGAGAATTACTTTAATTATCCCGTATGAGGGACATTATTACAGTTGCAACAATGATTTGTTTGTGTGTGTGTGTGTGTGTGTGTGTGTGTGTGTGTGTGTGTGTGCGCGTGTGTGTGCGCGTGTGCATGTGCATGCGTGCGCGTGCTGCCGATATCCCAGACTGGTATCCCAACCTGGACTGGCTGAAGGAGAGCTGCCGAATTGCAACCAGCTACAACTGGGCTGACGTTGACCTCTCCCCGTTTCAAGGTAACACGCACGTATGCACACGCACACCATGAAGTGTGAATGGCAAAGCACATTGATGAAGCTGCGTCTGCTCAGTGAGAACAGATAAATGCTCATGGTGCCGATCAGCATTTTTGATTAAACCGTTCTGATTCATCTCTACACTTTCATATCAACTCGCCCTCGAGGCACATTAGAGTATCCTCTGTTGTATTAGTATTGGCCCAATAAAAGTCATTATCCTCCATCGGAGAGGTTGCCACAGTCTGTTACTGTGTCTCTCTCTCTCACACACACACACACACACACACACACACACACACACACACACACACACACACCCTCTCTACCAATTGTATGATGTGCATAATCCAATTAGGCCCCAGCTCAGTAACAGCCTCTTATCACGGTCAGCGCACAAAGCCGGCAACATCCACACACGAGGGATAATGACGGACAGTCTTATGACACGCAGGCGGCCACTGCCTCTCTCTCTCTTACTCCTCTGGCTGCGCTTGACCTCCCTCGCGCTGCCGTAATACCATCCTCCGCCGCCTTTGGTTCACCTCCAAAGAGCAGGACCGGAGCGTCTGTTGCTCCCCAACACAAAACACAGCCACATGAAGCTAGAGTCGGGGTCTTGACATTAAGATGTGTAAAATGTGAACAGACAGTTGACAGGATATTCACGTACTGCTAGATTCAGGATTTACGTACTGTAAAATAGTGAGAGTCTTTTTCAAGATGTAAAAATATTCATTTTCTCTACATTATTATCAAGTCCATTCAGAGAAGCAAGTAAAACTAATGTAAATGTAACAATATTCAATTTAAGATTTAAGAGTCTTTATTTGTACAGTAATGAAATTCGTACTTTGATGGTTCTCTATTGACACAAGAATAAACACGAAAAGGAGGATTTACCAAACATAACATTTTATATCCTGGAAGCTAAGGAAGCACAATTCAAACTCACAGACGTCTACAGTTTTATTTTTCTTGTGATTGTACAGCCACAGAAAATGGGAGCTTGAAATTTACTGTATTTTATTTAGTATCCTTTGTGGCTACAAAGATGAACTTGTGAAACGATTAAAATAAGTAAAAAATGTTGATATTCCAAATCTTCCAAAGACACTGGAGCTGCACATGAGGACAGTAACGTGTTACTGAGAGCATTTGGTTCAAGATTAAAAACAGTGAGCATCTGTCCATCCCCGCCTCGTCTGTCTGTCTGAGTCAGGTCTGAAGGAGAGCATGCGGCAGGCCGAGCTCAACAACTGGTCGCTGGACGCCGCCCAGATGGCCGATCTGTGCTCCTCCATCAACCAGTTCTTCACGGCCACGGGGGTTATCCCCCCTCAGGGCGCCACCCACCCACAAGCTCAGGTCCAACACCCGACAACAGCAGGGGCGCCGCAGCACCCGGCTCAGCCGCACGGGGCCATGCACCCAAAGGCCAGTCAGCACAATCAGCACGGGCAACACAACCAACATAGCCAACACATCAGCACAGGTCAGTGTACTGTTCCATCACCACAATAACTGAAGTTAGTAGAATTAATATGCCAAGATAATATGTGCAAGTGTAGCAGGTTTATTCCACAGAGAACTTATATTGCGCTTGTAAAAGGTTGTTTAAAATCCCTGCACCGAAAGAAGGGTTAAAAGTCACAGTGCACGCGATTTAAAGGACTTGGAAAATAAGGACATCATTAAAAACAGTCAGGAAGTACAGCAGTCATGTCATCAGCCTGGTAGACAGAATTCAACAAGTTGAAATTGTCCTCAGAATCTTTGTTTTCTGAACTTCAGATGCAGAAGTACACATGAAGCATGGTGTAATTTATAGTTGGCGTTAAGCTTCACTGCCTCATGCAGATTAAAGGCGGAAGTGAAACTGTTCACTCTCTTTCTCTAACATCTTCCTGCTCTGCAAAAGATTTCCTGGGCTCCAAAGGTAAACATACACAGAAAAAGCAAAAGTAGATATTGTGAAGGAACTTAAAGTTCAACTTTCACTGTCAGAAATAACATCATATTATCAGTTTTGGGATAAATGAAGAAAAACGGGGAGCAAAGGAAAGAAAAAAGAATTTCTGGATGAGATCAACTCTCTTTATATAAACTCCCTCGATATCAATTTTTCACTGAGCTCACACAAGGCTGTGTTTTGATAAGATCATTATATAGAATAAATATATATTCAACTATTATAAATGTTTTTTCCCTGAACACCAGCCATGCCGACTGGCTGCGGCTAAGCATGAGATGCCAGTACATGTGTGTGTATGTGTGTGCACATGATAACAGCTTGCGTTCCGCGAAGACACATACGCATGTGAGAATGTCGGGATACGAATCTGACAGTTAGTCATTGCCCTTTTATCTGTTCTCCCACAGGGAACATGTACATGGACTCGAGACAGAACATTTCCTCTCTGATGGGCCCTCCACCAGGATACCCCCACATGCCTCCTATGAGCAACACGGCCCCGACCATGACAGGTAACTCCCCCATCTCTGCTAACAGGTTGGGAGGAGCCGTCATATAGAGAATGCGATGTGCTTCTAATCTGCAGAGGGAATGACTCCTTCTTCTGCAGAGTCCACCATGTTACACCTCCACTGGGACCTCCACATTTGTATGTTATCTGAAGGCCACTGGAGTTTCTTTCTCCTGCTGAGGGAGGGGAAGACTTTGTTGCAATAAGCAGCTTTACCACTAGATGCCACTAAAGCCCACACAGTGAACATAAGAAACTGTCATTTAGTGCTGCACTTTCATTAAGTCAGGGACTCACAGGAGAATGATTTTACATGTAATCAAATTTGATTTAGCAGAGGCTGAAACTTATAACCTATAGTATGAGACAAACACTGGAACCTGATCTTACTTGGACTTTTTCAAACTTGGCAGCTCCTCCATAGAAACAGGGACATCATCCAGATGTTTTACAGGCTAATTGGTACTAACCAATGTCTGTGTAACAACTTATTTCCATCGATAGATTACCTCTTAAAGACAACTCGTTGTTTTGATTGTGAGTTTTTTAGGAAAAAATACACTTTTAAAGATTTAAAGACTTTTTAAATTTTGGTTTGGGAAAACGAGAATAAAACCAATGAATTAAATGCTATGGTTACTGTGGTATCTTTTTGCATCTGCCAGACTCTGAGCCCATTGGCTACGTCTGATGACGAATTATCCTCCAGGGCACCAGCTATTATGTTGGCGGTTTCCGCTGTAGAGTGTGCAGGGCACTGTTTATAGTCTGACTGGTTTCTTTTTATCATAGAAGTCAAACATTTCTCCTCACTTTTTGTTGGTTTGTCCAAACGTAATTTTGGCCAGTCTCTATTAACAACTATCTCCACATGACTGCAGTTGAATAAAAGACTGTTTATCTTTGGGCAACAGCACAATTTTCTATATTTTACATGGTTCTGTTGTAACTCGGATAACTCTGGATATCCTTTTAAGATAAAGATAAGCACAGTTCACATAATGCAAAGACACAGTAAAGTGTAAAATAGTTTTGTGTAGTTGAATCCTCACCTTTCTGAACTTTCATTTACTTACTTTACGTTTAAAAACCCTGATGAAAATACATTTGCCTGTTGGATTACGTTACGTTCAGGACTTTCTTGTCTGCTTTAAAATTGCATCAGTGACTCATTGAAATCACTCAGCTGCCATGTTCAGTAATTATGTCACCACATTAGATATTATATATAGACCAGAAATCTGAGTAGCACAGTATTTATCAGAACTCAGTCTCACTCCCATCTTTGTCCATGTCCAGGTCATCACAGCCAGCTGAGCCAGCAGCAGCAACATGCGCTGCCTCCAGGACACTTTCAGGTGAGACGCATGCTCGCCGCAGACGACATCCAGGACGACTTTGACTGGGACTCCATTGTTTAAATGGAGATCGTAATTTGAACACAGACAATGAAGGTAGAGAGACATGAAGACGTCATGGGATGACAGGTAAGGTAAGGAACCGACGAATCTGCTCCTTACATCAGTGTAACAAAATAGAAGACAATCCACCAGAAATCAAACGGAAAGATTTATTTCCCTCTAATCTTGCTGGCTTTTTTTTCTGGTTCAACTGGTTGATGACTCTAAAGACAATCAATTAAAACAAATGAGACTTAAAGACGGGATTGGACCGAACCAAGACGTAAAGGACACATCATTCAGAGCAGAAGGACAGCGGAGGCTCTCTGAACCGTCTCATATTGTGTGTGTGTCCCAGCGCCAACAGGGTTACAAGTCGCCAAAGTGTTGTCGAATCGTCTGTGAATTATTTGCCCTTCGTTTTCTTACATCTTTTTGCATTTCCCGCTGCAACTTCTGTCCCGTGTCGGTAAAATCCCAGCACCTGTGGCTAAACTGAAAGAAAAAAAAAAACTTTCATACACACACTGCACTGGTTTTATGTATTACATCCTTTTTCTCTTTGTATCATTTCTTTGTTCACTAATACTGAACGTCTTCAGCTTCTGTCCAAGGATTTTTTGAAAAAAGAAAAAAGCAGCAGAGCACCACCTCCTGGTCAATCACAGCCACCATTTTGCTTCCTCTGCCTCAAAAATAATTCTATGCATCCCAATCTGTTTTTAGTTCTGTCACAATGGACGTTTGGAAGCTTTCCTCACTTTATTTCATCATTTTAAATGTAATTTTTGTTTGTGTGTGTGTGGAAGAGTCCATGGTGCCATGTTCTCAGGGTGTTGCATCCGTTAACATCATCACATCTCTGCCGTTAATATGTGAGGTTGACTGTCGTACTGTGCTCTCAGCGTTAAGGTCCTGTTGGCGAGCAGCAAGCGTCCTGGTGAGAAGTTTCAAATTATCATATTTCAGCTTATAAGCTAAGCAGTGTGAAATAATATGGCCACTGATCGAAACAGAAAAGAGACTCGGACTTTACTGAGGTATCATTCATATTTGGGAAACATGGATATCACTTAAGACCAGGCAGAGGAGACCGGCTTTGATTTCACCACGCCTCATCTCAGAGAAGATGAGCAGTTTTTTTGTTGTTTTTTTGCACAACATGAAGCTCGGCAGCATCCAGCAAAAGATGCAAAGCAAAAGAAAAACATTTTATTTCTTTGTTTCAAAAGACATTCAGAAAAATAATAGAGCAGCAAAAAAGCAAAGCAAAAGTTTGAGATATTCAACTTTTTTTACTGTGATGTTTACTTTTGTCTTTGTGTACAAGTGTGTATCGTCCTCTCTGATTTCCTTTAGCTCCATACAGCTCAAAAAATACGCATAAAGAGACAAATACTTTACTTGTGAAATACGGGACCTTGGAGCGCTCTTTGCTTCGGAAGATCTTAGTGATTGTTCGAATGGTCAAAAATAAGGTCTCGCTATAGTAAAAAAAAAAAAGGAAAATACTCTTTATTATTGCCATTAAATGCTGTATTACAGTGACCAGCATATATATCTTGTATGTTTGTGTGTTGTTGTCCTTGTAAATAACAGTATGTTCCCCCTGTTTGCCCTTGAAAAACACAGACAGATGAAAACAACGAATGGAGAGAAAGTATTTTGTTATCCGTCCTTCAGGGGACATATTATGTACATACCGTCAGTATATTGTAAATAAGTGGTAAAAAGAGAAAAAACAGAAACAACTTTGGCGTTTTGTGTGTCATAAATAATCTGTGTATGGCGGTTCAACCGTTAAAATCTGTTTCAGTGTTTATTAAAATGTCATTGACCATTTTTACTGCGAAACCTTGCGTCTGCTGCTGTTATTTCATCGGCTGTACGGCAACAAACTTTGAGCGATGCTGGATTCAATCTGCACAAACTCACAGATATCAGTTAAACCTAGATATGAACTACTCTCTCGTTTTCTGTTTGATGAAACGTTTATTTTGATCTGTATCAGTAGACTGAAGTCGATGGCAAAAGGCGACACATTTTAAATTGAAAACAATCTTTGATTTCATTCGTCGTAACTAAACCGTTAAAAAGTGTTAAGTGGATAACTGTTGTTTTCTTCTTGAAGATGGACTGATATGCTAGAAAGGCACTCAGGATGGATATATCTATCAATACCCTTAAAATCAATCAACATACACTCATAGATAGAAGTTCCCTGGGAAATATGTGAATAATAAATCCTGCAGCCTCCCCTCTGCCCCAACCCAGGTCTTCTGTCTTGTCCTGTGTCCCATCCTCTCAAGTTAAATGGAAATCAGCTCAGTAGTTTTTCGTTATCCTGCTGCCCAACAATCTATAATGGCACTCGCCGCTATATGAAACCTCATTTAAATTCACTAGAACCGGATTTTTCGGTAGATCTGCAGCAGATTGCACAAACGTTTCAGTCTCCTGAACATGCCTGATTTGTCATCAAGATCCATGTATTAATTTATGTTATAGAAGGTTATAGAAAAGTCCTGGATCTGCACCAAAATTGAAAAAGTTCTCCTTTGTGTCTTGCCCCACCCATCCACAAAATATCATGTAAGTTGGCTCGGTAGTTGTTGCTCAACCGGAGTGAAAACACAACTTCCCTGGAGGAGAGATCATCAAGTTCTGGCTGTCAAGATAACTTTGTGCTTCTTTTGACCTTCGGAGCTTGTTGTCCAACAGGTGTCAGCCTCGGTCCCAGGAACAGTTTGTTTGACCAGCGTGGCCTGTAAACTCTCAGCAGACCACCCATGCTCGCCTGCATGTGTGAAAGTCACACAGTGTTCTAACTGTATTTACGGCTCTTTTCTTCGGGGGAAACCCGTTTGAAAAGCAGCTCGCTCTCTTTCTTAACGGTCTGTCTGCCACTTTTCTCTGCAAGATAAAGACTGATGATTGTAAAGCTCGATATAGATGCATTACAGATGCCTCTTTCATTCAGCGGTTGCTTTTTATTAACAGCGAAGTACTTTAACTTTCTTGGCTCTTAACTCTGTGTTTTAGGATAATCTGAGACGGATCAAAGCCCTGACTTTCTCTTTGTCCGTTTCCGAAAAACTTTAACAGTATATTTCCTGTTACAGATATACCAGTTATAAATTGAAGTGGCTGTCTCGTCTTGATAACAGTTTATCTGTCTGTCTAAGTGGTGTTTGTGTGTGTGTGTGCTGCTGATATTGCAGGGTTTGCAGACCCTGAAACCATCTAACTGCCCCAATCCAGACTTACTCCTCCCAACCCGCCGTGCCCCCTGCTCCCTCAACCCACCCAGCCCAACCACCAGTACCAGCACCCCTCCTCCAATCTTAGCTCCGGCCCTTACACACTCAGCTCTCTCTCCTGCTGTGTGCCAGTCCCTCTCTCTCTCTCTCTCTCTCTCACTCCCCTTCTCTCTCTCTCTCTCTCTCTCTTTCCACTTCCTCAAAGTGGCCAGAGTTCCTTCTTCTTTCTCTGGTCCTCTCTACATCCCTCCACCACTCCTCGTCTTCCTCCTCCAGCTGTGAGAGCACCGACCGACTGGCCCATTCATCTCCACCTCCAAGCCCAAAAAGGATCTCAGGCCTCTTACTTTTTCCTCAAAACTTCCAGTGAACACCCCATTTTTTATTCTTGACCTTTTTTGGTGTTTCACCCTTCCCGTCGTCCAGAGAGGCCGGTTGGCGTGTGTGTCTGGTGTGTGTCTGGTCTGCGGGAGCGTGTGCGAGGGCTCTGGTGTCGTGCTCTTTGCCCCGAGGGAGTTCCTGAAGGTCGTGACTGGAGGAGAGAAAAGTTTTTTACCACCATGAATGTTCAGCTGCTGCTCCTGTTGGCCCTGGTCGGCCCTTTCTGCGCCTTCACACATGCAAGTAAGTGAACTGTCTGCAGTCACCGTGCTGCTGTTAGCACACTGTGTCCCCTCTCTGTCTCCATGTGCCCAAACCTCACCAGTCTTTGTCTGCTTTAATCCCTGCTGATTCAACAATAACACTACGGAGGCTGGTCTCACAGTGAGAATAAAATCTATTTTCATTCATGAATACTTAAAATGGTTTATAATATTCAAAACATTTTAAAAACTTGATATTTGAACTGCTTTTACTTTTAAATCATCGCCTTTTTTTAAACCTTACTTTTAAGTTTGACCAATATGTTGGAAATATTCAACTGAAGGGGGTGCTATTAAAATATCAAAAGAGCTTCTGTGTTGATTTGCACTGATAAACTTCTCCGTAATCTTCCTCCCTCGTTTTCACGTCACACTCCAGAGCTCTGGACGACAGGAAAAGTTTGATTTGCGGACACAAGGGAGAAATGTGATATAATAGCAGCAGCTCAGCCGCCTCGTGTCTGTTAAATTCTTGGCACCGGTAAAGAGAAGAAAGGAATATCCTTTTGAAGCCTCCCAAAACAGAGCTCATACGCGGGGAGGGAGGGACCGGACGGGACAGGACGGGGTGGGCTGTAAACTGTAACGTACACCGTACACATTTATGTGAAAGCTTATCCAGCGGCCTCCTCGCCTCACTCTTGATTCTGCCATTTCTCTTTTGCTGCAACAACTTGAGTCATTTTTCCTCACTTTGCATCACTGCTGTCCATTTCTCCCTCTTCCGGTCCTCCTGTCTGTCTTTCTTTATTTCTTTTGGTCTTACTGTCTCTTTCTTTCTTTCCATCTTTTGGCCTATTTGTCCTCCTGACTATCTTCCTTTCTGTCTTTCTGTCTACCACTCTCTCTCTTTTCACTCTCCCGGTCGATTTCCTTTTCTTTGTTTATTTCTATCTTTTGTTCCATCTTTCTTTCTTCTCTCTTCTGTCCTTGGCCCTGTCCAGCACAGTTTGCCCAGGGGCAGCGTGTGTGTGAGTGTGTGTGTGCGTGTGCGTGTGTGTGTGTGAGTGAGCTGCAGGGCAGGGCTGCTTTTTGCGTGTGTGTATTAATAGAGAGAGGCTCTATAAGGAGGGTCATGTGCATGTGACAGAGGACCAGAGGAGACAGGCACAGAGTGAGCTCCCGCTACGTGATGAGCTTTAAGAGGCACCCCACCCTCTTTTTTTACCCACATGTTATTAAACCGTGTGCCGTGCCGCCCCTTGGCATTTACCCATCTTTGGTTGGGGTATCAAGCTCTACCACTTGAACCTCCCTCCCTCCCCCAGTCTCTTAACAGTCCTCTGCCTTTTCTCTGCCCCCTTTCCCTGTTTCAGCTTGATGAGTCTAGACCCCGGGGGACGGGGGTTAGAGTAGAGACAGGGGGGGCAGCGAGGGGCTGGGTCTACTTTTAAACGGCAACCTTTCCCGGTCGGAGACGGCATGCCTGCCCCATTTCCATGGAGGTTTACTCTGACAAGAAGCCCTTAAACTTTGAGAACCATTCTTATGTTGGTTTTCTAAATTTTCCGAGGGAAGAAAATCGCTCACTCCACATCTATGTTTCTCAAATGGGGTCTTTCAGTTCCCTCACGCCTGCTCTCTTAACTAGCAAGTCCCACGTATCCTGTAAAACACTTCACCTCCTGCCTCACAATGCTGCCCCCCCCTCCCCAGTCTCCTTCTTAATGAGTTTTGTCTGCGTCTCTGGGCCTATTACATCCCCATCACATCTGGCCGCTGAAGGGCGAGGTCATTGCCCTTTGTCCGTGCCTGCTTCTAGAAGTGACTCAAATGTTGCGCTCATGCTCCAGTTATGAGAAACATGCCAGTTTAAGAGGAGCCGTGACGAACGAGTCTCACGTCAACAAGTCTCATTTTGTGAAAATGTTTTTAAAAAGTGCTCAGTCATACTCCAAAAAATTTCCACAGGGAGAAAGACACATTTGTTTATGGAAAGAGGGCAGAGGCCGTTTCAGACCTGGACCGAGCCCTGACGACTCAGAACAGTAGCGGGGCTTTCAGCTTCCATCAGACTGAGAGTGGCATTACGAAAAACACGACTAAAAAAAGTAGCAAATCTCCCTGTGGAGTTTGGAGCGTCTCCTCTGTGAGCACGTCTCTCCCACCTTCCTCTTTCAGCTCCACACGGTGCAAGGGAAAGTCTGAAAAAAAAAAGCGGAGCTGCTGAGTAAGGAACACTGAGAACTGGGTGGATGTTTTATGATGTGGGAGTTGAAGGTTAGTGAGATTAGGAATATACACAAGGAGGCTCGCTTGATAAAACCGTAGAGGTCAGGTCAAGTGAAGTGTTTTGTTTGAAAGTAAATATGGGGAGTTTAGAGCATGGAAGGATGCTACAGCACAGTCTGTTTATTTTGTCATCCATGCAGTGGTTGCATTACATGAATCATTACATTTTAGGAACTCGTTAGGCCCAAGATTAAAGACGCTCTTCAGTCTGGTACTGGTTGCTGCCCCTGGTGATGGAGTCCAGATGGGATGTGCTGCGTTTCCTCTTATCTGACCAGGAGGGGGGAAAAAACGAATCAGTTCCTTTACAAGTGTGGGTGCTCATTGTGTTGCGTCTATGATAAGACATGCAGGCTGAGAATATTCGGGGCCTGTCTTCCTGCTTGAAAACCCTCAGAGTGCAGTGCATGGCACGCCCCGGTATCTCCGCAGCTGACTCCTGCTGCTTCAGCGGGGGAGTTTACGCTGCTCAGCATCTTACGTAGTGCAGCGAGATGGGCAGGGCGCCTGTATCTCTCTCACATTTTCCTCCTCCACCGCTGCGAAAACATTCCTGGGCTCAAAAGGTGGATACACTCACACTCCCTCGCACACGTCTGCTCGGACCCTTTCCCTCTCTGGACAGGGGCTGTGAATTATAGCTCACTGGGGGGGGGGGGCTCGGTGACAGCTGATTGTGATCATAATGGATGGAAGCTGCTACTCCCTCCTTTCCTGTCTCACACTGTATACCTCTGTGTCCCTCCCTCCGTCACCCCCTCACTCTCTCTGGAGGTGTTATTTACGCCACAGGAGTGAAACAGCTCCGTAAATCTACATTCCACCGCCAAACCTCATTCGAGTGAAGTTTTAAAACCAGTGTCGTCCACAGAGACAGTTATTACGGTCCATTATTATTTGAATTACATCCTGAGGCATCGCTGCTTCTCTTCTACTCGATCTAACCGCCTGTTCATCCATAAATGTCTGTCCTCTACACAAATAATGCTTACATAAAAGTCACTTTCATGAATCAACACATTCAGTATGAACTCAGTGGTACTTGGTGATGTTTTGCTGAGTGGCAGGATGATTTCAGGCTGTTGCTTCACATCGATACGGGCCAGAACGTGCGGTCAAAATGATGTAATCGTGGATAAAATGACCTTGGGTGCACCGCTGAAAAACTTGGAATAATAAGAACAAAACGCCACAATGACGTAATGCCAGTCTAGGATTGAGAGAGTAAAACAGAAACTGGAACGGCTTTTAATTTTGTGTGTGGGGTTTTTTCACAAAGCTCCATGTATGAGAGGTGTCAGGGTGTACAAAGGCAGGTCTGCATTAGCACAACGCTCACACATCCACAGAGACTGTTCTTTAGGACCCTGTTTCTTTCGGACCCCAGACTCTTTAACACCCAGGTTGGTAGAAACCCTCACCAGCTCCAGGGGTCCTGTCAAATCTGACCCTGTCGTAGGATTCACACGGGGTCACGTGCACTCACACTAACACACGTCTCTCTGCGAAGAAACACAGCAAACCAGAGGCAGACTGTGTTCACACTGAAAACCAAGCGGCAGCAGGAGGGACGCTGCTCCCCCAAGCTTCTCGGTTTTAGAAACATACCGTTCCCTCAGAGCCCCCGACACCCCCACCCTTTCAACCGCCCACCGTTTGGCTTCCCCTGCATCCTCCCCTCCCCTCTCTCCCTTTCTCTCTCTCCCTTTTTGTCTCCAGGGATTCATCTTTCTCAAAGGTATAAGCAGCAACCTATCCTCAGGGAGTGGCAGGATCACGGAGAGAGGAAGACGAGCGAGGAGGAGATGAAAAGGAAGCGAGGGCAGAGAGGGATGTAGACTGTTACTCACTAAAGTAGCCGTATCAGCCCAGGATAGTCATCACAGTGGGGAGGAAGTACTACTCAGAGCTTATTGTGGGAACTGTACACATATTGAAACAATTGTTCGCGACAATTACACAAAGCGTACGGCCATAGACCATTTTATCATCGCGTTCATCGCTGTTTGAAAAAAACAACAACCCATCGGGACACTGCCAGGGCAGGAGCAAATGTTTTGTTATATTTACCCAGCCTGTTGCTAATGAACACGGCATCCAGCGCAGCACTAGGAATAACTGCACCGATTGTGTCCAGCCATTCAGGGTTATTTTTATCCAAAGAAAAGTATTCTCTACTCTTTCAAGTATTCAGAACAATTAAGAGTGAAAAGTGAAATGGAGAGAGCATGATGTCAGACTCTAAGTTTATGAGACTCACACAGACGCTCCTCTCTGCTCAGCGAGGCGTTTTTTTTTTTTCATTCTGTTTTTTTCCAAGGAGAAGACGCACGTCCAGGCCAACATCGTGTCAGTGGAAAGTTAACTGCAAACCGTAATTTTGGTGCCACGCTGAAATCTACCTCCTTAATTTTCGAGGCAGCGCTGTCCAGGCGGAGTTTTCAGTTGTGGCTGGGAGGATGTTGAACACAGGGAGATGGAGCTAGGGTTATTGGAGGGAAATGATTAGGTTCAACCCAGGCTGCCTCATAGTCCAGGCCTTGATGAAAGACACAAGGATAAATACACGTTTTATACAGTTCTTCAATTCAAAATGAGAGCCTCTGCTTAACTGCGAGCACAGACTTTACAGAGAGCACAGACTTTACAGAGATCTCTGATGACTGTTTTTAGATATTAACATTATTTTATCCTATTCTAATAATTAAAGAAAAAAATTTGATCCCAGCTCCACAAAGAGACTGGATTTTCCTCGGGTCCTCCATTTCATCAAACATCAGTCGCTCTTCCTTGAGAAACTGCTAATCCCCCCATCATCCCCCCTAATCGGGCATCATCTCGTGCCACCACACCCTCCAATGACTGCACATGTGAAGCAGCTGAGGGTTTACAAGCCATCCCGCGCTCTCCTGCTGTAGCTCCCTCCACAGGAAATGAGGCAGAGGATGTGGCATGCCTGTACGCATACACAGCGCCCCAAAGACAGGATGGAGGGGTGGAGGAATGGAGGCAGGATGTACATTTAATGGAGTCACAGGGTGCGATGGTCACGCTGTCACCGTGTGCTGATGACAGGAGAAGTTGCTTATTATCCCTTTATGTAACTATAGTGTTATACAGTTCCCAGTCCCAACAAGCAAAAAAAATGATTGGGATAGCCTTTAATAAAAGAAATCTGTCACAGCACCAAACCTGAAACACAAAATGTATATATTTCAACAATATTACCTGACTTGGGAAAACATGCTTAAAACATTTAACTCAGTGGGAGAAACATTAACAGATTTTTTTTATATGGTCTATATATATTGCTTTGCTAATAAATGCAATATTTTTTCATAAACATGGACAAAAAAGCGTAAACTCTATGCAGAAATTAATTATTTTTCTTTACTTATATTTAAAAAAAACTCCCTTAAAACATATCCGCAGCCAGTTAAAAAGTCTGTATTGGTGTGTTGCTCATCATTATACCTGCATGTGAATCCATCTGTGATCTTTTCACTGATCGCTCTCCCCAGGCCCCACACAAATCCCTGTAGGGCTCATCACTGAGAGTGAAAAAGATGCAGCAACCGGGGCTACAAAAGAGGAACTAACCGTTGTCACCGGTCCCCCTGCAACCGAACCGACAGCGGCCTCTGCAGAAGTAACTGAAGAAGCCACAGTTAAAGCTGTCCCTGAAGCCACAGCTGAAGCTGACCCTGAAGCCGGAACTGAAGCCGGAATTGAAGCCACGACTGAAGCCATCACTGAAGCCGCCGCAGCCACCGAAGCAGCCACTGAAGCAGCGTCTGATGTTGAATCTCTTGTGGTCACTGAAGCGCTCCCCATCACCAAGGAGCCCATCCATGAGACAGAGGCTTCCACTGCTGCTGCTGAAGCACCAGAACCCCTCACCACTGAAGCTCCTGCTGAGGAGACTGCAGCCCCCACTGAGGCGGTAGAAGTAGAGCTCCAACCCGAGGCAACCGTCGAGATACTGAAGGACGAGGAGGTGTTCATTGAAGAAGGCACAACGGGTGAGGAATGTGTGGGATGGAAGCACAGGAAGAGCATAGTGTGAAGTCAGTTAATGTGATGGTTCTGATGTGATGAATTCAAACTCTGTACATCTGTTTTCTAGTGAAAGAGAAGGATTTTAATGTCATATGCATCATCCTCTCCTCAGATGTTGATTCATCCTGTGTAAATCTTGAAAACTGACCCCCTCTTGTCGTTCTGTCTCCCAGAGGGCATGAGCTCCGGCCAGGTAGCCGGCATTGTGCTTGGCAGTCTGCTGGCAGTGGTCATCGTCATCGCCGTGGTGATAGCTGCAGTGAGGAGAATGGGAAAATACTCGTAAGTTCCTCACTATCTCTTCTGGTGGACACACACATGCGGACAGCTAAAATGAATGTTGTGCAGCAAGTCATCGCTTCCTCTAAATATGGAGTGAATCCACATGAGATTTTAGTCATCGCTGACGCATCCTTTGATAAGTGAACACAGGCGCTGATGTAATCGGTAATTTGGTGCTCTGTGATAAGACGACCTCGGATGCATGTCCGGCACAAACCAAAAAAGTTTTTAACCATAATTGGATTCCGGTACCAAATATATATGTGTTTAAACATTGACCCTCCCTCATGATGAGACGAAGGGTCCGTCCCAGAGACAGTATCCCCCACAGATCACTCTCCACTCTGAGAAGACTGTCGAGAACTGCATTTCCTGCTAACTACAAATGTTTCTTGTGTCACAGGTCCCCCAGGAACAAAAAACCTCAGAAAAAAGACAGCAATGTGAAATCTGTAAATGTCTAAATTTGATTCTTTCCACTGATCATTTTAACCCCTTGGCCGTCATTGTCTCAATTCACAGATGTGTAACAGATGCCCAACCCCAACCCCCTTCCTAAATAAAAATTTAAAAAATCCTGACAAAGCTAAACGACTGCTGCTCCTTTTGCTGACACAGACTCACAGCCCTATAGGAGGACAAATCTGTCCTTTGTGGTGACAAGTGTCTCTATTAGGCCTTAAAATGAACATGTTTGTTGACTCAGTCTCTGTCCGTGTGGCCGGTGGTCACAGAGCAGACTGTTTTAAAGCAACAGCTCAATCTGATCCCTAAACATAGGGCTTGTGTTTGTCAGACGAGGGCAGCAACGTGAAGTCGTCAGCTCAGTTTATTTCGGGTACTAATCATATTTGACCTGTTTTTCACTGTATATCTTTAAATCTCGCCTCTAAATGGGAAAATGTCAAAATTCTAATCTTGTCTGCACTAAAACAACCTGTAAAACAAAATGTCTCCTTTTTTAAAATTTTGGTAAACATGCCTCTTACACAAACATTAGGTTGTTTCCTTTTTGTGTATTGACCTCCATCTTTAATCCTCCTCAGCCCTCATAATGGATAAACTGAATTTACTCTATAAACTCTATAAAATGAAACGATCCAGGTGAACAGAGCAACTAACTTAAGAATTAGAATCACTCTCAGCAAAGCACATACCTCCGCCAAGGCCCAACAGTTTGGACTGATTTTTATTTGGATCCACACCAAACTGAATACACCCATGAATTCAGTCCCCTGATCATTTTTCTATCAAGATCCTTGAATTATTCTGTGACAATTCAATACAAATCTCTGAAAAATAAAATAACCATCTTGGCGGAGGTAACAAGTTGTACCTCAGATACTAAACTGCTCATTTCAACCAGTGACACACACTGTGATTATCTATGCAAATGCTAATTATCTCTCTCTTTCTTTCTTTCTTTGTTTTTTTAAAACTCCACAGCCCTTGAAGAGAAAAACAGCCAAGCAGCAAGAGCACCCAAAGTTCTGGAAATTCTGAACTACTGAACTGTGACGACATTTCCGATCATTAAAACAAGCACGACACCAGAACTAAACCAACCTAACCAGGACTCCGCACTGCCAAAAAACCAAAACAAAAAAAACGGGGAGGGAGGCTTGTGTGTATTTATGTGTGTATTGTATGAGTGTGAGACAAGAGGGGTACATGAGCAGACATCCTTGCCTCCCCCCCGCTATCTCCCTGACCCCCTACAGCTGCAGATATGAAAGGCTGTGGCTTCCCCTGCCCCCTCCTGGAGAACAAAACAAGGTGACAGCAGGATGTCACAAAGAATTTCAGGGCTTTTCAGATGCATTTTAAAAAGAAAGAGAAGCAGGGGATTATCTGACATGCAGGGGGTAAACTCTCCCCTCTTAACTATTTCAGTGACTGACTTAGATTTGCATTTAAGTGTGTGAAGGACATGCTGACATAACAATAGGAAATTAAACACACATGGAAAGTGGGAACAGGAAAAATGCAAGAGAGACTGTTACAAATTCCACAGGATGTATATACAATGTAAGGGGGACTACACAGCATACAGCTAATGACTTTCTCATAATGCCGTTGCATAGGCTAGCATTTGATATTATGGAATACACAGAACACACAGACCATTGTTGTGGCTTTTAAGACGCCCCTGAGCACCAGATAAAAAGTTTTCTCATGTAGCCAGATCCTCTGACATGTTGGCCGACTGTATGAAGCACCGTGTGCAGAAGTTTTTCTTATCCTGACATGATGATACTCGCGAGCTGTGTTGGCTAGCATGGGGCTAACAGAAACGACAAAGGCACCCTCATTTGCAAGAGTAACGTGACATTCTGCCCACTTTAACACTGACTTATAAAAACCTAATACATATCTGTGAAATTTAGCAGAAGGGTTTGTGCCACTGTCTCTGGTATTCTCTCGGTAGTTTGGAGGATTTGAAGTTTTGAAGTGCATTATTAATGTGAATTGACCGTAGTTTTTAACTGCCACCCATTCCAAAAACACAACAGCTTTGTCGACTGCTGGCTCGTTCCATATGAAGCCTCTCACACAGTCCGTGGCTGTTAGACCTGGTGACTGCATTGTCTCGACAATGTACTCACAGTACTAGTGTTAATAGGTAGATTACCAGAACAGCCATCCAGTCTTTACATTGGGCTAACCCCAGATTGTGTGCACAGGATGAAATTTGTCATAGTTGCACTTAGTTTTAGTGCACAGTGTTAGGCAGCAATGCCCCGCTTTTTTGTTATTTTTTGCAATTGTACGTATGCTAAATGGGTGTACAATTTATGAAGTCTCAGCTTAGCTCTGCTGGCTTTCCAAACTCGTTTAATATGTGCACTGACTGAGTGATGTAATGTTTAATGACTAGGCTTTAGACACTGCAAATGTTTGCAACGACATGTGTCCGCGTCCTCCCTTCTGCTTTGCCTCATATTATCAGTTCTAGGTCTTTAATTTGTGCCATCTGATTTGTTTGAACCTTGTATTTAATTGCAGTGTTTTTGTTCATACTGTTTCAATAAAAAACTGAAAACACTCCACAACATATTCCTTTCTTTTGTCTTTTGTTCATGAAATTAATTCTGAACAGCTTTTTTCCTGCTGTCATTTGTCCCATCCATCTCCATATCACTTAGATTACGCAGTTACCACAGCAACGCCTCAAAGTCGACATGTCCTTGAGCAGCTCTCTATTCAAATACTTGTGACGGTTGAAATCACATGACACTTGTTTTCTATTTCCAAATGCAACTCGTACACATCATCAGCAAGCTCACAGGGGCAACGTCCAGCGGCCTGCTCTGATTGGCCCATTCAAGAAACGCTTCAAATGTTCAAAACACAACCTCTATTTCAGAGCGTAGGCAAACATAATAAAATATGAAGGACCGTTGAGTCAGTTGAGCCCTCTGACAGTTAGGTGTGTATTTTATGTCATGTTGTGGAGTTTTTCGTACGGTGCTGTTAAGCCGAGGCAAGGCTCCAAAAGTGGACTGGAAGTTGCACAGAGATGCTCTGTGTCTGGCTCCCTCTCCTCCGTGTGGTTTTAGGCAGCAGTCCAACGCCCACCGCCCCAACCTCTGCTCCACCAGCGAGCTCTACGGCTCTCTTTAGCTCTCTCTCTCGCCTCAGACTACTGGGAACAATGGAGTCTTTTGAGAGGGGCAGATGGTGAGGCTATGGGCCACGGCTGTGAAGCTGCTCACCAGTAGCTCCCGCTCTCCCCTTCAGCAAAGGGGGAATTCTGTACATCGCTAGAGGGTGGAGTCACTTCCTGGGTGGGCACGCCAGCATTGATCATGTGCGTTTTGCTCTCACACACAAACACACTCAGAAACACTCAAAAGCAACCAACTCTGAGCTCTCTGTGCGGATGAGCACATGTTAAACCAATCATAACAGTCATGCTGCAGCAGAATGTCCCAGAAAAGCAGCTCACCATAAAAGTGCATGATTCACAGAAAGAGTCCCAGTCATTCATGACACATAGAAATACTCACACATTTATGTCTCATATTTAATTTGTGATGGATAGACATGAATGTAAGTGTGTGTAGGTGTGGTCTACCCAAGTGTGTGTGAATTCTACATGTTACATACAGTGATAGTGAATGAACACAGAACCTGTGAGTGTGCATGTATGCTTGTGAAATGAATCCCAGTAATGGAGTCATCAGAGTTTAGTCACCGCACAAAGTTTCCCACCTCTTTCCTGTGCTCGTCTCGAGGTAACTGAAGACTGTCTGAGAGGAAGGAAGAAGACGCTCAGTTCTAGACAGATGGATGAGGCAACATCTCTCCCTCTAAATAAAACCAGACCTGTGTATTTTTCATTTAAAAGAAGAGATGGGTGTTTATTTTTTTTGTGGCAGCCACAAGTGCACAGTTACTTATAGCTGACTGTATGCTGCATGTTTATGACATATTCCACACAGAAGAAAAGTGTGGTGGAAAATGCTAATCATTTTTATTTGCAGGTAAAACTGTAGGCGCTTACTCAGCAAATTATAATCCTGACAGTGTAAAGAAAGAGCAGATTGTATAACAAAGGAGGATTGAAAATAAATAAAGAGGCATGAGGTTCATTCTGCTAGATTGGTTTCTGGCAGATGAGGATGTGTGTCTTATTAGACATTTTGGCTTGTGTGTGATCACTCTTATCAATTTGTCAAACTAGCAAAAAACTTTGTAAAGAGAAAAACTCAAATGACCGATGGAATCCTAAACTGTCAATATTCCTCACATTGGATGTTTTTATCGAGTTTTAAGTCAAACAAAGAAAGGACACAAACAGCTTCTGCTGTGCAGTGAAATAAATAAGAGACCAATACAAATATAACCAAAGATTCACAATACATATATATACAATTATTATTATTATTATTATATACACAACCAAGAAAAAATATTAAAAAGAAGGAAACATATATTTTAAAAAAAAGTTACCATGACAAAGCCTTTGTAACTTTTATATTTTTGACAAAACATACAATATCTCCACCAAGGTTTCTTTCAGTATAACTTTTGCTGATATTACTTCAGTTTGTTCTGCAGGTACTCCAGCTTCCTCCTACAATCCAAACACATTGGGCATTAGGTTAAGGAGCGACTCTAGATTGACTGTAGGTGTGTGTGGTTGCTGTTCAGGGTGTGTCTGCCTCTCGTCCAGTGTCAGCAGGAATTGGCCTCAACCTCTCCTCTTTATTAGGTGGCTGCTAAAATCTAAAATCTCTCTTTTTTTTACATTATCCTTTGTTAGTTTCCTCTCTCTTGAACAAATAGCATCTGTTACTAACATTTGGACAACCTGGTAAAACCTGCCTGAATAAATGAAGAACATACCATTTGTGATGCAGAAAGTCTTCTTGTGGAATCTTAACATTTTCCACATGTTGGACAAATACAGGGCAAAATGAACCAAAACATCCGACAATGGAGTCCTTCAAACATGCACATTATGTTTCTAGTGTCCATTGTGTGGTTACTGGCAATATAAACAACGTTATGTAATACTGGGATAAATAGATTCCTCTTACATCCGGTTGATGTCATCAGCCCTGCATGTCTTTGGATGAACATCTGGGCGAAACATAGCCTGAATACAAACATAGATAAAATCATGCAAACTCTACACAGAAAGGACTTAGTAAGTCAAGACCTTTTCTCTACTATCATGTCAATGGCTGTATCACACTGGAGAATACCAAACACCCTCTGTCCTCAGCCATTATAACACCTCTATCTGCGGCTTAAAATTCCAAAGTGTGGTTTTAAGTCAGGTATAATTATGGAAGTAGATATAGGATATGCTTACATCATAGTATATGACAGACAAGGTGCTTGTGTGAACAACCAGAGGTTTTCTCCATGTCTGTTGCTCATGTCTGCAGCTCTTCATCGCATGGAGTTGTCATGAATGCCATCCTATAGTGACCTGAGCCAGTGCTGCAGTATGTGGGTCTGGGTGCATACGTGCGAGGAGAGCCACATGTCAAACCTGAGGAGTGCATGGGTTTGAGATATCACGGGTAAAATGTCAAGCCCGGAGCCTCTGTGGGTTTTGAGTTCCACAGACAGCTGGGTCTCAGGCTGGATGGAGTGGGCAGGGTGGGGCACAAAGTTAGGTGACAGGCGCAGACATGGCGTGTTAGTGTGTGTGGTCAGATTCAGTTTGGGTAATGCAGGGAATAGATGAATGTGCTTGTGTGTGGCAGCAGAGAGGCGGGGACAGTGAAAGAGGAGACGGGATGGTGTGTGTGAGGCATGTCAAGTGCGTGTATGTGTGTACAGTATCTGTGCATATGGCGTGTTACTTTATGGAGGTCAGGGTGCATCTCTAGACGTGTGTGCATGTGTGTATGTGTGTATGTGCGTGCAGACCTGAGAAAGGGCACTGATTCTGGAGGGCACGTGTCTATTGGTCTTTGGGGGATTATTAGCATGAGTGTGGCATGAGTGTGGCATATGTGTGTTTGGCTGTGTGTATGTGTCTGTGTGTGTGTATTGGCACAATGAGCCACTGTTGTGTGCATGCATGTACAGTATCATGGGCTTTTGTTTTGTACAGTTTGTACAAGTTCTCTGATGTCTTCTCATTTGCATGTTCTTCCCTGCACATCTGGCGTCCCACAACATGAAGCAATAAAATTTGATTTTGTCCCAGTGACATGACCTGTTGTCCAGAGACAGACGTGCCTTTGTCCGCACTGTGTGGCACACATGTTCTATAAGAGATCTTTATTGTTTCATGCCAGAGTCTGCCTTTGTGATCCGCCTGATACACAGACACATTGTGGACCACCTCTCCCTCTTTGTCTTTTCTTGTCCTCCATGTTCATGTGGAGGGTGAGGGTGAATGTTTCATTGTGCACGGAGTCATTGGCACGAACCGGTGCCCACTGCCACAGGATACGTTGCCATACATTGACTCTGGGGCACACTTTGTCTCAGTTTTCTGTAACAATCACTCAGTTTCCTGTTTGATTTTAACTGGACTTTTAGACCATTCAGCATCTTCAAACTAAAGGATTTCTTTTCGAAACTAGAATGACACTCTCACCGTGTACTCCCACCAAGGCCCAACAGTCCCCTTAAATTCAATCAAGCTGCACCAAATTAAACACACTTATAGAAATATGTTCCCTAACTGTGCTTAATTTTTCCATCTAGATCCAAGAAGTGTTTGTTAGAAAATCAGAGAAAATGCCCTATCTCACAAAGTGAAAAAAAGTGAAAAAGAAATCCTGTATAAGCCCCCTGATCCATATCTGCCCCAAAATGTAATGGTTTCTTCCCTGAGCCATACCGCATCCTTCCACCAAGTTTTGTGGTAATCCATCCAGTAGGTTTTTCATAATTTTGCTCACAAACATACAAACCAAAAAATAATTATAGAGTTTAATTTTTTATTGTGCCTTTATCTTGAACTCCAAAAGACATAATCATTAATCTTAGATCCAAAGTACAACACTGATATAGTTCACAAATACATTCAAAGCCTAACTGCCGAGCTAAACACCTCAACTGTCATACTGAATATTTATATCTTTAGGATTGTCCTCTTAGTTCTTCAGAATTGTCTGCAAGGTTTTTTTTTTTACAGTCAAACCAGGTGAGGTGTTGCATGTTAACCTTAAAACTGGCAGCAAAACAAGGTGCTTATTTGATCCGGGTCAGATGATGTTTCTACCCTGACGTCTTTTTAGAACGGGACGCTGGATACTGTGACATGTGACAGCAGCTTTGAACCGTCATTATCACTGTGCCTCAGGCCAGTGCACTGATTTACAACAGGAACTTACTGCCATAGTGCAAAGCAGCATTTCAAACACTTCCATTTGATTACTTTTTAAATTATGGATTATTAATTGATATTGTATGTTGAATTGCTTTTGGACGCAGCAAAACTCCCTCCTATGAGTCAGCACCTGCTTATGTCAGGATTTGACGTATGTGTCGCACCAGTAGACCCAGTTGTGAACCTTTCATCATAATTTCACACCTGTGACTTCCTTCAACTGTGAAAGACACGCTGGAGCCTTGGACATGTCCGGAGTGACTAAAAACAAACATGATCACAGTGAACCAGCCACTGATTTAACAGTCCACTGCAGTTTGTAACTCAAGAGTTACTGTATGTTGCAATACTTGGTGTCAGACAGTGTTTGGGAAGTTTGATGTTAAACACAGAGAAGGAGAGAAGCCTGAGTAAAGGCCTGTTTTGTATGATCTCTCATTATGGCTTTGCAGAGGTCTGGCATGTATGATAGCGAAAATGCTGCTCAACCCACATGTATTAGAACAAGAGACGTGCCATGAGAACACCACCCATGTGCTGTGCAATGTCACAGATGGACATATGGGGTCCGGTGAACTCCTACTGATTCATTCCAAGACAAGCTTTCATGCTGGTATGATTCTGGAGGTGGAACCATGTGAAACCATAGGCAACGCTCTATCAGTGTAGGTGTGAGCCTTGATATTAGTCAGTGATTTGTGAGTCAATTGACAATTGTTGGGGAGAATAGAGAACTTCATAAATGTTCAATTTATCAACGGCTTGGCTTCTGTTTACTCAGCAGCTGTGAGACTATAATGTCTGTGCATTCAAAAGATTGTGTAATGGCTGACTTCAAAAATCAGAATTAAAACTGCCTATGAACTATCTTAATTTTTTGTATGATTAAATCATATGTAAATGTTTGTAAGAATATGCAGGTTAAA